TGTTCACGCTGACTTTGGAAAAAAATTTAAGGTGTTCCGAATTTGAAAGCTTGAGATAGTTTAAGAAAATGAACAACACTTTTTAAAAACATGTTTCGACAGTTCTTCTGTCATCTTAAGTTGTGAATAATATAAAGTACAAAGTTGAATTTAAAGTGTGTAACAAAATGCTGATTGGACAAAACAAACAATGGTAACAGAACTAACGATGACAGAAGAACTGTCGAAACATGTGTCGTTCATTTTCTTAAATTCGTTACATAGCTGCTTCTATCCAGACCCTGAGATAGTTCTTTGGTTCTTGATTGTTGCTGTTGGTAGTTGATCCATTTGAACAAGTGAATAACAATTAACTGATCTATTTCCGCAAGTTATTTCCTGGGACGCTTTTCCCGTCAAATGAAGGCACGAGGCCGTTCTTTCCTCAGATTGAAAAATCTGTGAAAGAGCAAACCAAGCCAGCTTAATTTTTCGAGTGTTGTAGATTTAAAACATTTGGAAAAAATGCTGTAAATTGTTGTGATACATACTAAATTTAGAATTTAAGTTACTGATTTTTTGAACAAATGGAGTAACACAGGCAAGCTTGGATTTCCCGTTTTTCATTGCAACAAGCAGGGGCGTATTTTGAAGCTGTTAGTGAAGCCAACCATCACTGTGTGAACGTAAACGATTTGTAGTGAACCAACAAAACTGGCAAACAAAAGTACGAAGAAATATGGTATTGCTTAGAAGAAACGCAACTTGACGACTAATTTACTGTAGTAATTCGCGTTGTGACTAGCATTGAGTCTGCGTCGTACTTGCTTAAAACTTTTAGACAATAAATGTTTTGAACTCGGCCTCAAGTTCTTTGACAAATTATCACTAAATAACGTAGTGTGAGAGAACGTCACCTAACATTGCAAATAGTTCAAACAAATTAAATCAGCAGAGTGTTTCCATTTATAATTACACCTAACAAATAATTATAAACGATCAGTTTATAAAAACACAGCTTTACGCAGACCCAGAAAGAGAACGACCGTAAAATTTTAGGAGTGGTAAAAATGAATAAAACTTTTGTTAGGTGACTTACATGCACAATTTCGGATATTAAGAACTCCCAAACGATGCAAATTTGTTAAGAGAAAACTGTGATTAAAAATTGTAAAGACCTTAAAAAATGTTTCATTTGATAATGTCTTAAGGCCAAAATTGTCTTCTTAAACTATGGCAAAAATATTTACTAGAAGACGCTCTAAGATTGCAGAGGGTTAGCCTCATTATCGTTCTGCACTTAAAGATGGTATCTATGAAATGAGCGTTTTAATTCCTTCGAAAGCTTAATTATTTCGGTCAAATGAGTAAGAGTAGTTCTTCCGTTACCTTTGAAACTTTTTTGGGTCAAGAAGATAAATTCAATTGCCAACGTCGCACTAGAATATTATCGTTGTTAGTCCATCGAAATCTTAGTCAAAATTTGAGCTTTCGTCTCTTTGCTTCTACGAATGATGGATCGCAGCAACTGAGATTTTAGGAAATATACTTTTTTGGTGAATTGAAAGATGAGGAAGTAATTATTATTAACATACATCAGGTGAATTTCAACACTTCAAAGAATTTACTGCCCGCGAATTATACAAGAAAAAATTTTACCAGAGAGTTGTTATCTTTTTTTTGCTTAGAAAGCTGAAAATAAATCAAGAGAGCTACTAAATACTATCTGAAATAAAAAAAGGCACTGAATACACCAAAAATTGCAAATTGCATTGGTCTCGGTTTAGTCTGCTGCTTGTTTGTTTTCTCGTAGAGAGAGGACATTTTTACAAAAACAAGACGCGTGAAAGCCTGGTTTTCAGTGATCTCTTTTATCAAATATCGTTTTTTCGAACTGAAAAACCTTAACCCTGTACACCCCAACATCATTGTGCATATTCTCCATACTGTTCTGTACACATTTTCGAAGGTGCTCACAAGGAGAATTTGTTTAACAATCTTGCATTAGCTTCTTTAGCTGGTGATCATTTCCTTTATTCTCACGACCTTAATGTTTGATTCAGAGGCGATATCGAAAGGAGAAATTAGATGCTAGTCACTCCTGGGGTTAAGGGGTTAGTAGCCATTCAGCATCCTTGGACACGAAATGCGCTCGGTAAACTTTTCAAACTGTATAACAAAATGTCCAAACATAAAATCGAACCGTCACCAAAAACAATTACTTCTATCTTGCTATATTCCATACTTATTAATTGCTCATCACCGATGCTAGAACGATTTTCGAGTGAGTGTACAAAGATATCTAAGATCACTTTGGTTTTACTCAACCTTGCTCTGTGATTAGTCTAGAAAACTCGCGCCATCCTCTTAACCAATCAGATGCAAAACTAAAAACAATTGCGACTTGGTCGCCCGCGTTTCCCGCGCTTTAAGCAGTTTGCTTGTTTTCACTTTGAGTTCTCATTGGCCAATGATAACGTAAACCTTTGTTCTGATTGGTCGCTCTGATTACTTTGGTTTTTCTTGTTGTTCGCTTAATTGGAAACTGCTCTATGGAGCGGCGGGTGGGGGGGTGATTAAAATGTAATATTATCAACCTACTGACCTGTTCTTTCTTAATATGCCATCTTCCAGGCTTGTGCCTTTTTCCAATCTTAAACTTTCTTTTTATTGATCTCTAGTTTTCTTTTATGCCTGGTGAGGAGGAAAATAGGAATTTTTATTTGAGGCACACATATTTTGAGGTCCATAGGAGAAAAGTAAGTTTTCCTTTACTTTTTTTACTAAAAAATTACAATTTTTTTTTGTTATACCGACGTAACTTAAGGAAACGATATTAGTTTATCTAGACGTGCCCCTCTCCTCTCCTTCCTATATACAATGTGACTTAATTTAAGTGTATTATAACTTGCCAAGGTTTGGAGATTTTAAAAATATACATATACATATAAAAATAAAAAATAAATAAATAAGTAAAAAGTGCCCCTCTTAATTAGTTCTTTTTTACATTTCTTGGATAATTTCAAAAAATGCCGATAATAATGGATTGCCTTTGTTACTACAGCTTTTGAAATAGTTTAGGGTTATACCAAAATCTTTCCCAAACGGCCAATTGTCCTTCTGTCATTTCATTTGATTGTTTCGTTAGTATCTCGTGCAATGTAGGCTGTTATTAAATTTGGTTGTTACGTTAGTATTTCGCGCGAAATTGGCTGTCCTTTTATTTCATTGCTACTTTTGTATCTCGTGCAACTATAATTTTCCTTTCATTTCATTGATTCGTTTGTTTCTCGCGCAAATTAAGCTGTCCCTTTCAGCTGTTACCTATTACGATTCCTATAGATTCTGAGCAAAACTTGACCAACTTACGTTCGTTTAAGTGCCATCATTTAGACATGGATCAAGCGATCTTAAATTTTTCTTTTTAGTCAATTTAAAGTCGATACCACCTGGTTATGAATCAAAGGAGGGATTTTTTCAGTAAAGACGAAACACTGGACAGGGAAACATTTTTCAATTCGTAGAAAGAGAGGCAGTGCCCTTCGAGGCCGAGAAAAACTACCCCCCCCTCCCCTCTCACCTCACGTACTCTCTGCGCCGTTCAGTCAACATTCGCTCGAGTAAAATGGATTGAATTTCGTCTTAAACTAAGATTCTCAAATAAAATAACATAGGTATAGTATATTTTACACTTTTCGGAATCGTAACTTCCACTATTTGGTACAAACGAAGGATAAGTTATGATGTAATTAAGCTTACCTTGAAAGTTAGGACTTGAAACGGACGCCATTCTTACATTTAGTGTTTCCGCGAGCTTCACTGAGACCCACTACATAGTATAATAACTTCTTCCCCATGTTCGACATTGAGGAAAATCGTTTGTAGCTTTCCAAGAGTGCAGTTAAAGGATGTTTGAATCTACATCAAAACTTCAAGCGCCATTTTACCATCGGCTGGTTCAACATCACTCCATGTGATAACGCAGAGGTGAATAATTAACTGAATTTGAAATTCAAATGAGTTTGTCAGCGGGAGCTTTGGACGAGCTGTAAATGAACAAAGGATTCAATGATCTTTCGCTAAACAATGATCAAGTGCGTGCATTTTAGGATGGTACATACCTTCAATGATAAAATTACGGTTTGGCTCTCTCTCTGCTCTAAATCAGCCGGGGGAAGAGAAGGTTGTCTACTAGGTATGTTCTCTGAGGTAGACAAATCTTAGTCCTGTATCTAAAAGTGTGTTTTAACGGTATCGCTGTCTTTATGATTGTCAACGTCATCATAAATTCCAAATCAATGACGTCAACAAAATACTTTCAGTAATTGCGCGTGTTCAGCCCGATGAACAAGGGGGCTGGGAACGAGATTAGTTAACCAGTCATATTGCTACGTGGATGAAAAGCTTCTTGTGATACGATTAAGTGTGAACCTGAAATCAAACAGTTTGCGCCTATGCGAGCTCATGTGCGCGTTTTCAAATTCATATGTGCGTTTGCGACGTTGCGTTTTTGTTTGATAGCGTCGGGTTCGCATTAGTGTTCGGCAGCTTTTTCCACCGACGAGGTGTTTGATTTTTCTGAAATATTACGCAAATGACATCACTCGTTACTTGCACATGCAAAGAAACAAAATGTACGGGAGTCACACGATGTACGCATCGTCACCTTCAGTAAACGCTTAGTGGTTGCTAACCACGCTGGTACTACAAAGGGCTCCTGAAGGGTTCACATTGGGGCATTTTGGATTTTTTGATGCAACGGATGGGCAAAAAATTATCAAAAAGTAGTCCTCGTTTAACTTAAGCATATGAGTGTGAACGACGCCTTAATTTTCTGTATCGCTGAAGAACAACTTCGTCTGTTAAACTTCGTATTCCCCTGTCGTTGCACAAGCCTCGAGAACACGTTTGTTCTTCTTTGTAAGAGTGTTTTTTAATTTGTTTGTTTCGACGCGATCGAAGAGTTGTCTACTCGTAAGTGGGAGCAGAGGAAAGACGAGAGAGCAACACTGAAGCTTTTATTCTGTTCAAAAGTTTTAATGTATTTTAAAGGTTGTGAAAATCGTACAAGTTTAGAACGGACTTAAAATGAACAAAACTTGCATCGAGTTGAAATATTCTTCTTGACTTTCTGTAATTCTGGACAAACAAACGCTCATTTTTTTTCATTGAGAGTCCCTATCGTGACCCCACTTTCAATTTCAGAGTTCAGTTCCCGGACCACTGTCATGTGATCGAATTTATCTGGGAAGATGTTAAATGTTTTGAGAATATCCTCTCTGCGGTCACTCTCCGAGGCGTAATACATCTGAACTTGGTAAGCGAGCCACTGAGCATCCAACACGCTCTGCATTAAAAACAAAAACAGCCAATCAGAACCAACACCGTACAGAGAGCCAATAAGGGTCGAGGTTAATAAACGCCAAAAAAAATAACAGCCAATCAGGATCAATGGTTCAGCAAAAAGAGCCAATGAGAGTCGAGGCCGTAAATGCCGTCAGTGACAGCAAGCGCAAAGAGCAGTGTTAGTTCGAAAGAATAAGAGGGTTTTGTAATAGTTACTTTTAAATGTATTTTCTCAGATATCAAGAAGCTCTGATTTTGGACAATAATGATTAAAATTGAAGTCACTGATTCGCAAGAAGTGTAACTGCAAAAATCCGAACCGTGTTTTTCAAACCTTCGCCATTTGTAATCCGCTCTTCTTCTGCATTAAACACTTTTGTGTTCATTTGATTTCAAAGTATTTGAAAATCACAAACCAAAAGAATAACATTTGATTGATCTCACTCACTGACCATTTCATTTGTATCAATTTCCCCGACCATCAGCACTATTCCTGCAATAAAAAGAAGGAAAGTGAATTCAATGCGGTAATAAATCTTCAACTCTAAGTTTTTTTTCTTAAGATAGCAAAGTAGTTGACCAGTTTCAACAATTATACTACATAAAAAAAATTATAACCACCGACCTTTACTTTCTCTGATGTCTGTGAAATGTTTGATAGCCAGAGACCAGGGTGCGTTTTCGCCTCGTGTCTGTAAAAAAAGGTTATATGGATAAGAATACTTTTCCACTGTTGTGAAACACGGCAAACAAAAGTGCTCCCGAGGACCAATGAGAGCAAAGGATACTATCACAAGGAACCAATCAGAAGTCAGAGTATACACACATCACCGGTCAAAAGCGCGGGAAAACGCCTTTGACCAAATCGCAAGGGGTTGCTTTTGGAATCCATCGCGGATCCAAGGAAAGAAAAATTGAGGTAATCCATCTCTTCTTTAGTAAACCAATCCTAGATGATTGGATCAAAAAAATTTATCTTTTCGCCCACAAATTTCGATATGGATTTAACGCATAATCATAAATCCATGAGTGTCTCTTGACATAGTTGTATGCAATCTCAGATGTTTCCGTACATAAATTGCATTTCAAAACCACTCAAATTGATCACTAACAATAATGACAGACACTACGCGCGCTTTTATTCCATTGGTTGATAACTTCTCGCGGGCTTTAATCCTATTGGCTTACAACTGCTCGCGCGTTTCTACCTCATTGGCTGGTAATTGCGCGCGCAAATACTCTGTTTGTTACGTCATAAAAGATAAATTTTCTCTCCGTGAAAGCAGTGATCAAAGCAATGAAAGGTCCTTAACTCTAGATTTCTACCAAACCCTCCCTTAAAGTTTTTTACACTGGTGAAAATTCAGAATGGGAGTCACATTGAGCTATTACCAATCCCGAGAAGAAGATTACATGGTGGCAAAAAGGTATAGAAAAGCAGTTTGTGGACATTTTTTTTCGTGCTGAAGTCTAGATGATACATTTAGCAACGGTTCCGTTATTTTGCAGTACTACATGTAGAAAACCAAACTGCTCTTTCCAAGTGAAGAAAAAAGTTCTTCCTTCTCAAAAAACCGTCAACCTGGAAGGAATCCAGCTCAAAGTGAGCGAAGGATGGAAGCTGCCAGATAAGAAATGAAGGTATGATGATATCAGAATAATCATTTTATTCCCCGTTTGCTTTGTGGACAAGAATTAATTCCTACTCCTTCTAACAGCGTGTAATGAAGTGACCGTCGGTTGGGGAGAATCTTAAAAACTGTTGTTCGAGCGCATATCAAATAATTTTCTTGAAAACAAAACCAAAGCTCTAACATCGGCCAATCAGAACAAGGAAAAATATCACAGGGAACAAATAAAAACTCAAGGCAAAAACGAGCAAACTGCCTCAAGCGCGGGAAAACGCGAGTGATCAAGTCGCGATTGGTCCACGTTTTGAGGTAAAGCGCAGAAAAACGCAAGTGACTAAGCCGCAATTGATCTCTGTTTTGATTCTCATTGATTGAGAGGTTGGCGGGAGATTTTCCTGAACCAATCACAGAACAAGGTAATGCACGGGAAAACGCGAATGAGAAAGACGCAGTTTGGTCCACGTTTTGAATCTTATTGGTTGAGAGGTTGGCGGGAGATTTCTAAACCAATCACAGAGCAGGGTTACGCTAAACCATCAATCGGATTACATTCAGCACTCCATTGAAAACAAATACTTTACTTCAGGCCGGCAACCTGAGCTGAATAATTGAAGACGAGGATAATGATGACAAAAACGCATATTCACTGTCCACCTGGTTATCAGGTAACTCAAGTGGTTACAAAGCAGAGTTATAAAGGCACAATAATGATTCTTTCTTACTTGATAATGAAGGAGAGAAGTGAAATAGCACTTGTGGTCTTTGAATTCGGAATACACGTATTCATATCCCTGTTCTCTTGGAAGAGGGTAGAGGAACTGAAATTAAAAAAAAAGTTGAGTGGATATGCTGAAGACAGTATCCTGACTGTTTCATGTGTTAAAACAACATGAGTTATTTTTAAGTGCATATCAACGAAAACAGTGCTTGAATACTGTAACTCTCTATGACTCTGTAACAATAAAGGATAAATTCTACTTAACTTTCATGAGCAGGTGTAAAAAATCTAATTTGAATTCACAAAAAAAGAGCCTAGATCCCAACCCTGTGATTAAAAAGATATAACTAACTTAATATTGAACTAACTACACCATTTGGCTTCACTAGACATTTTGAAACTTCTTATTTTCCAAAACAAACAGGTAACAACTTTGCAATGAAAGAAAGCTCAAAAACTAAAACTGGAATTGCAAAAAAAAAAAACAAGACAAGACAAAACAAGAGTACTCGAAAGTGTCTACAACAATTTCTAATGCCAAAGTTTAAGTCTGAAGACATGATTGGCTCATGTTTGTAAATCACATTTGCCGCACACAAATACAAAAAAGATAGACAGGGAGAGGGGAGTAGGAAGAGAAAATTGTTGTTTGAATTTTACAAACATAAGAAATTTTCCACAACAAGAAAACAACTGTCAACTGTGTTAAAAGTGATGTCTAAAAACTATTGACATCCACTTACCAGTGGAAACTTGAGAAATCGCTCTTCCATCCTGTCATATACAGTGCTCTACAAAGGAGAAAAAAAAAGATGTACAAGTTTTGCCTGTATTCTTTCAATATCCTGTGTGGGTTATTATGCCAGTAAACTGATAAAAAGGGCAGGCTATCACTTAAGCATCACCCATCTCAGTTATAGATACAAAAAAAACCACAAACAAAATGATCGTATTTGGCCAAACCTAAAATGCACTGGTACCTCAATTAGAATCCTTGCAATTAGGTACAATATTATAATTAAAAAACCTTGACTTCAGATACATAGTCAGCATAAGGAACACTGTAATTATTATCAAGTAGTCAATTTTTCTGAGAAAGCTTTGATTCTCACTCACTGGGATGACAGCGCTGATACAGTCCTTGTCCCTGTGATATTCCCTCCAGATCTGCAGACACATAAGTAGAATAAAATACCTTTTTATTAACTGAGTTCAAGGTCCATACTGTCCATACAAGCACAAAGCTTGCAGGACATAATTCGAAAGAAAAAAATTAGTTTCCATAACTTACAGTACTGACGGAAAATACAAGGTTGGTAAGACAAGACAATCTTTATTCAAGCCACTATTTACAACATTATGCAGTTTGCTGTCGTTGGTGTGTTTTAGAATGCTGTCATTGGTGCAATTCGATCATCATTATTATTCCAACTTCCAAATGTCCTTCCCTCATAGGTCAGCTTTCAAAGACTGATTGGTTGTTGTATGTTTTGATAATAGGGATCCTTGCTTTAGGAATTTCGATTCCACTGTCTCTATTTATTTCAGAAGATCATAACTAGAAGGGAAAAAGGATCTTTTTCAAATTTATTGAAGTTCTCACCTGTCCAATCTCATCTGCACTTTTGTCCATAATCTTATCCAGATGCATAATGGAGTTCAATGTCTGGAAAATGAAGAACAGGAATAGCAATTGCTAATTAAAAATATACTTGATCAAATCAGAAAAAATATTAATAATGAATTTTGATGTGTGTACATGGCACAAACAGGTTGACACAAGCCAGTCCAGAAAAAGCCATCCCACCTTGCACTCACAAGGCTCTTTCACATTTTCTGAGATTGTGAATTGAATTTGTTGAATGAGAAAATGAGTCACTCTTCTTGAATAATTGTGAGTTGTTTGTTTTGACTCTAAGAAAAAAGGGAAAAGTTTTTAAGGTAACTGCAGAATGTTTTAAGTGGTTGTTGAGTGTACACCCTTCTTTTGAATACAAGTACATCCTATCGAGGTTGAAATAAAATTTTTGAAATGTTTCATACTTATTAGTAATCATGTCTAATAACATGGTCATTGACTGAGTTTGGTCAGGCCAAACTGGAGGCACCCCCCATTCAGTCAAGAAGCACATATTATTTGGAGGGTATAATACAAAAGTGGTTTCATTTATGACATTAACATGTTTTCTGTGGAAGACTTGGAAAAAACTTGCATACATTCAAACAAACCCTTCAATTATCAATTGAACCAAATCAAACCTTCTGTCCATATGTTGACATTTCTCCACTGGATGACAAGGGATTGCTTCCAAGAAGTGAGCTCTGTCAAGTCAAAATTAAACATTTCTGTTTATAAATAAATGATAAGAGTATATTATTTAAGTTAAAATAAAGATAGAACTTGAACACATTGTTTTTGCCTTTCTAGTCAGTAACTTTAATTTTCAACAATAACAGGTTGTTTGGTGTCTCTTGGTGTTCTTATTCATCAGGAATGGTTGCTTGAATGGGTCTCCACAATACTGTTTAATCCAAAACATCTAAGAGTCTGTTTCTTCTGCTGGCTTAACCTTCTACATTGATTCAGTATATTTACAGTATGTACACATCAAGTTGTTGTGTTTACCAGATTGCCAAAACATTGACACCTAGAAAACATTAACAATTAACAGTGATACCCACAGGCTTTAAGCAATATGGGGCATATATGATAACAACCATCATGAATGATAGAAGTTATCCAAGCTTTCCTGTAAGAAAAGGATTACCACAGAAAAAGAATCCATGAATAATGGAAAGGTGAATTACTGATTATGCATCTGCATGCACATTTCCAATAAATCCATTGAATTTCATCATTCATGGACCATGCTCTTTAGGTGTCACAGAGGTTTCAATAAAACTGCCACTGCCTCTTACCACTGTCTGTTTACCCTGCAAGCAGGATTGTCTATTTGCGTTTAGCCTTTTGGCGCAGCTGCCTATCCCACACCATTAAGTGCCACTTGTAGAAAAATTCAGTAAAACCCCTCAAGATTTTTGTCATTAAGTGTCTGTACTATATATCAGACTCCTAGCTTAACAATCCACCTCAGGCCTTATGCTGTATCATTGGGTAAGACAACATCAGTGACAGTGCTGTCACTAGTAGAGTATACCCAACTTTCATATAATTTATACCAATTTATCACTCATAAGATTTAAACCAGTTACCTTTTTCTGGACTTTCTTCTTGAATCTTTCAGCTTCCTCTTTAGCTTTTGTGTCAACACGAAACTTCTCCTCCATGCTTTTGTCCTTTCTTTAAAAAAAAGTATGAAGAGACTTTCAACCTTTACACCCTAACATCAGTATCCATTTTCTCCTTATTATTCCCTACACATCTCTACTGGAACTGACTCTGAGAAATCATTTAACAATCAAAGTTTCTTATGTGGGTGGTCATTTCCTCTATTTTCATGATCTTACTGAATGATTCAGCAGTATTACGTTAAGGAGAAAGTAGATGCTGGTCACTCTAGGTTTAAGGGTTAAAAATTGGGATGGTTGGTTTTAATACCGTCGAATGTACGACTGCTAGCATATTCTTATGTTCTGATTAGCTGTTTTTGTGGAAAGATTTCCCATAATATTCTAAAAAACTTCCTGAGCTCTAAAGGCAATCTCCTGTTTTTGCCATTGTTTTCCTTATCCAAGAACGGTATGCATGATATAGTATGGCGTTATTCAGAAATCTTACCCGTACAATTAGCAACTGCCCTGTTTTTTTACTTATATTTTGCACAACAAAGTAAACATTACTACTTACATTCTGCCGTCTTTGATCTCATTCCTCACTTTCTTGATTCTTTCCGCGTATTTATCGTAAAAAGGATTAGATTCTATTTCATCACTTGTAGAAAAAACTCTTATTCTTGCAATAGTTCCAATCTGAGACCTGACACCTTGGAAACAAGGGGTTGCTTTCATGAGATTTCTTACACACGAACAAATACGAACGGTGGCAGCCATGTTGGATTTGTTGTCTACAATGTGGTGTAAAAATCATTAATTGTAACTATCACACTGTCAAACCCACACTTGCCTGGCTTAGAATCACCGACTGAAGAAGCTCTTGACTGATAAGCAAATTCTCCGGGTCAGCACCTTAGGGAATGTTTGTAGAACAGTATGGAGGATATAAATACTGAAGTAGCACTATTTTTACCACCCACCTTGGGACAAGTTTTGGGGTATACTCCCTTTAAGTGACCACACCTTACTTTCGTGAACGACGATTAAAAGGAAGAGAAAACACGTGCTTTTCAACTACGTTATCTTCATCTTTCATCAGATCGCATTATAAGTGCAGTCCTTCTCACCAATTGGAACAGAATGAATGTCACTGCAGAAACATTATTTCACAAGGACTTTGAAAGTCGAGTCTCCCCTCAGCCAAAAAGATTTTTTCCAAATCAAAAGAAGTTTTGTCTGATCCTCTACAAAGCCTCAGACGTTTTCTTAATTGACATACAGCACGATATTTATTCCCAAGACAAAGAGAAATGACATGTCACTTTTCCGTCAACTGAAATCGTTTGAATCATGGAGTTACCATTCAATATAAAAATTCTTAATATTCAAGACTGAACAGCTTAAAAATTACCGATTAACGATAGTATGGACCCGCAAGCAGTCAAAACAAATCTTGACGGGCTAGACAGAAGTTGACCTTAATAACTTTTTTTTTTTCGGATGGAGGGAGGGGGTGGGGGAAGGGGTGGGGGGGGGGGACCACGCCGCTTACAGTGAGACCATAATGGAGGTCAGCAGAACTGAGATGAGATATAAAGTCGTATTTTGCTAAATGTTCCCCCCCCCCTCCTATTCTTAGTTCGTCACAAAACGTTCTTGATCGGCCTCTGCATTGAGGACTTTACTTTTGTAATTTTTGGAAAATACTTAGTGAACGAAGAATAATTCTGACCACGCTCAGACAAGTTATTCCATGTAAAAAGTTTATTTAGGACAAGTCAGCCAGTCTTGAAGTATATGAACCCTAATATGATCTTAATATGTATACGCTGAAAACTAAGGGTTCTACAAAAGAACCTGTGCTACGCCAGATACGAAAAACCACTAAAAAGCCACCCTTCAGAAGCGGCCAAAAAATATGTGGAAACGTATTCCTCATCTAATGCAGCAGCACAATACCCCGAGGAAAGGGTAAACTAATCAGGTTACACTGCTTATCACAAGGAAATATCAATATATGTGGTGATATTTTACAGGGATTAGGAGAACGAAAATTACATCAATACGAAAAAAAAAAAGAAAATGGTTTAACATAGGACTGACCCAGAATGACTTAATTTTCCCGCGAAACGCTTAAATAATCCGAAACTTCCATGATGCCACGCGAACCTCTTCAACGTGCGATTAGAATATTAATTTCTGACTAATTCGTTCCCATGTCACTCAAACGTCAGAAATTACGCTTCAATAGAGTTGAATTTTACGAATTCGTGAAAAATTCGCCTTTGCCGACCCCGGTAGTTAATTTTACATGCATTTAGCGTCACATTCAACAGCATAATAGCAAAAAAAGGGAACTCATAAGATAACATGTTCGTTTGTGAACATGAAAAATGAAATACACGATCTACGGATTTTGAAGTTACCATTGGGCGGATGGAACCAATCCTTATCGCTCTCAGCCTCTCGCTTTAACTCTTTTTCCTCTTGGAGAGACTGCCATCTCATTTCTCTTTAAATAATCTCCTCTGAATAAAACATTAAGGTCACGAGAATGAAGGAAATGATTATCAACTAAAGAAGCTCTTGATTGTTCAACAAATTCTCCTTGTCAGCACGTTAGGAAATGTAAAGAGAACAGTAAAGTGAATATGCATACTGATGTCAGGGTGTAAAGGGTGTTAAGCAAGTCAATCACTGCTAGATCCATCGCCAACGGCCCCTTTCGATGATCCGCATTCTGGAGTAGAAATTTCGGAGAGGCGATGAATTTGCTTCTGAGCAGAAGCAAGGTGACGCGCAAAACCATCATAATTTTTGATAAATGCGCATACATCGAGCGCTTTCTTCATTGCCATGGCAACATTCCCTTCTAAACGGTACTGATCGGACCGCAAAAGAAATAGATTAATTTTTGTCCCCACCGCCAGGTTATCGGCGTCTGGTCCGTGTTCAATGGAGTTAAGGAGCTTCTTAGCTTGTACAACATCGTTCTCGCTAACGAGGTCATCGCTTCCAAGTAATAATAACTTTGCCATCTTGACAATTGTGTACTCCATATCGACAGGATCAGTTGCACAGTCCAGTGCTATTGTGAATGAGTTGTAGGCTTCGTCCTTCAGGGAAATGCCGCAAAGTCCCAGAGCAAGCATAGAGCTGATCAATCCCCCATAGCTTTGATGCAGCTCAGCTCTATCGACAGACGAGTCGTGGTACTTGAGAGCTGTTGTAGCCCGTTGCACGCATGTCCACGCATTTCCGAATTTTTTTTGAGTTTTGTAGATCGATGTGAGAAGGTTCAAAGCTCGTGCTGTCAGAACTTCAGGGTTTTCCATTTGCTTCTCCAGGTCAAAGACTTTTTTTGCAATTTTCTTGGCTTCTTTAACATTGCCTTGCATGTACAGTGCAACTGCGCGCTCAATCTTCAAACTTGCTCGCAAGTCTGTGTTTTTAGCACGCCTTTCCGTCAATTGTATCAGTCGCTCATGTCCTTCAAAATCTCCGTTATCTTGTAGATCTTTTAGCTTTGCTATGAGACAGATATACCATGAAGAATTCAGACATCCTTGTTTTGCTACATCTGGCATTTCAAGCGGAAGAGAGTAAATGATTTTATTCAACGAGGGTCGTTTGTCTTTCGGATGCCTTCTGCTCCGTTTTGTTCTGATCTCTTGGTTCTTTGAGGCGGATTCCTCTTCTTCATCTGAGGAACTATAAACATTCACAGAGTTCTGTCCTTTTGAAACTTTTCCTTCGGAGGCGATTTTAAGCAACTTTGTACCCGAAATCTTGATGCACAAAGTATCTTCTGCGAGTTTTTTAAACTCTACATTCATCACCTGATTGGCTGGTATTGTACTGCTTTGACAATCAACCAAACAGTTTCCGCCCATAGCTGTTTCTTCAGTCGACAGTTGGATTTCATCATCGTTCCCCAAGTCGTTGCTTTGAAGGCCTAATAAAGTTTGCTTTGCCATGCTGGAACTAGTAGTTATGTCTTTAACTTTCTGGACAGAACCATCTCTGAAACCTTTTACACTGGATCAGCCATTCTTTTTCATGTTGGCGTCTTTGGCGAAGATCTTTGAATAAACCATGCAAAATAAACAGCGATCACTCCTTTACTTAACTAAAAAAGAATAAAAACACAATGGTCAATTTTCTGGTTGGTTCGGACAGATACGCGAGATAACTTTTCGCAAACTTTCAATCCAACTGCATGAAACGAGACATTTCACACCGAAAAACTTGCATTACTTTTTATCTATGTACATTTATCTTTTAACCTCTTAGAGTGTGATTAGCATCTAATTTCTCCTTTCAACCCCTGAATCACACACACATAAAGGTCACGAGAATAAAGAAAGTGATCACAAATTAAAGAACTCAAGGTCGTGATTGTTAAAAAAATTTCCTTATAACCTTTTTCAAGGAAATATATAGAGAACAGTATGGAGAATATGCATATTGATGTTAGGGTGTAATGGGGTTAAGTTCTTTCTGAAAATAAGATAAACCTACGACAGGCAGGCAATCGGCGTGGGCTCTTTGTTTACGCGGGTATCATGTTTTCATTAATAGTATACGAGGATAGACCGAGACAGAAGAAATGTCTTTATTTTCCGAAATCATTTCTTTAACTTTGCACATAAAATTCCTAATTCATCATTTTATTTTAAATTCCTTTGATTACCGAAAAAAAAGTGTTCGAAAATTTTCGCGATCTGTTGTCGATTTTATTCCATCACCGCCAGTTACCTTAGCGAGCAAGAAAGTCCACACGAAAATATTCCAAAATTAGTCGGAAATTTTTACACCTATATCTAATCTCAGGAATATTTTTGCGAAACCAGGAAATTCAGAGATAATTTAAGTTTTCTTCACCCTCGAGCGTGAAGATTGCTGTTACCTTAACTTCACATTAAATTTATCTGGGAATTTCGTTGACCCAGAGTTAGTGAATCATCTCATAACAAACCGGAAGTTGTGAAAAAGTGAAAGATTTTATTCTACTTGGTATGAGCACCACGGTCTTTAAAAATTTAACTCCGTTTACCAGTCAACGTTAGGAATAGCCGTATATAAAACATATTTCAAGGTTGAAGCCGGATAAATGATAAAGATCACGTTACAGCGAATATTTCGACCGCAACCGATATGATATTATTTTATTAAAAGGGACAAAAAATTGGTTAAATCGACGCTATACCCAAAATTAAAATCGGATACGATTCCTTTGGGAAAATAATAACGAAACTCACCGATATGATTCCCTTCTTCCTCTTCATTCAGTCGTAATCAAAATTTTGAAAATCGCTTTTCCCTTTCGTTTTGATGCCGTTTCTGCAAAAGATAAGGGATTGAGCCCTTGTATTTTTGATCAGCGGACCCACTCGTTCGTGGCATGAACTTTGTTTTCACTTGCTCTAGATACGATGAAAGTCCTATATATTTGTTAAAGGTCTTGTAGCATGATTATTTTCACTCTTCTCGTTAAGAAATCTAAGTATTTGTTCAGACTTCTTGCCACAAGACGAAAAAATTAAACTAACCAAGTGTGTTTACCCACGCGACTTTGCGCGCTTGTTCACTGGCCTTTTTCAATGCTGCGTCATAACTGGCCATCATTTCCCAAGAGACAATTTTCAACCACGCAAAATTCCCATTAAGTAATTATGATAATACTAGTTCATTAAAATTATATTATCCCACAAGGTGATTGCTCAGTTTTATTTGAAGTTTAGGCAAGATAGATGATTAAGATCAGATCACGTTGCAGCGAACATTTTCAACCACACTCGATATGATTTAATGTCTCAAATTGGACAAAAAGTTGGTTAAATCGACGCTGCACCCAAAGTTTAAATCGGCTACGATTCCTTTAAGAAAGCAATAACAAAACTCACCGATATGATTCACTTCTTCCTCCTCATTCAGTTGTAATCACAATTTTTAAAAATGCTTTTCCCTTTCGCTTTGAAGCCGTTTCTTCGAAAAGTAGGTTTGAGCCCTTGCGTGTTTTGATCAGCAGACTCACTCGTTTGCTAGATTAACTTTGTTTTACTTGCTCTGGATACGATGAAAGTCCGATTTATTCTCCAAAGGTTTTATAACGTGATTATTTTTACTCTTCTCATTTAGAAATATAAACTTTTGTTCAGGCCTTGTTGCAACAAGGCTTAAAATTTATGCACTCCCAACTAAATTAACCAAGCATGTTTACCCATGTGACTTTGCGCGCTTGTTCACTAGCCTTGTTCAGTGCTGAGTTAAAAGTGGCCATCATTTCCCAAGAGACGATTTTCAACCGCGCAAAATTCCCATTAAGTAGTTATAATAGTAGGTTATTATAATTATTCTCCAAGATGATTGCTCAGTTTTATGTGAAGAAGTTTAGGCAAGGCAAGGTGCTACAGTCGTGGGGGCTCTTTTGAAAAGTAGCCCTCACCAATCGGATGGGTATGAACTTACTGATGGACATCAAACATATTGCAGTTTTCATGCCGACGTACGAAAAGATGGCGCTAATCAAAGTGATGGGTGTATACATTCACACGCATTCACAAACTAGCGTTATCCTTTTATAAGGAAATGACGGATAGAGGGGATAACTGAAGAGGCACGGGAGAGCCCCGCTGACCCACACAATTTCACACCTTTTCGACAAAATGCTAATATTCTAGGAATGAAGGGGAAAACTTTATTGAAACGGTATCACAACAGGAAACTTGCAAAGTGTTGATCGCTCGGCAGGCATAAAGGGGTAATTAATACTTATCATTCAGGCACTAAATCGTAACATACTAGCGTGCAATCTTGCCGTATTAGTCACTGCTGTTGCCTGTTAATGCAAACATTTAGTGGAAGTTGCCTGAGTAGCAAAATATGCGAGATAAACTACCCCTGAGTATGGTATTTAAGTGTTCTCCATGTCTTTTATTGTGATATCGGTCATCCTCTCCTCCCAAAGGGAAGAGAGGATGGCCAACTGTAAGGGCCAATTAACGAAATGCCGGGGGTTAATCATTCCGCTCAGGGTAAATAGCGATACTCCTTGCTGCTAACTCCTATGGAAAGTTGGATGAGGTCTAGTCATAACTGAAATATGCCACTTGTCATGCCAACCTTAGGAAATTAGAACCATATCAAGATGAAAGAAACAGTTTATATTCTCTTGAGCCATACAGAAACTCTTTTAGGATAGTTTAAAGGTGACCTGACATCATTTTTAAAAATTTAACTCTGTTTACCAGTCAAAGTTAGGAATAGCCGTATACGAAACATATTTCAAGGTTGAAGCCGGATAAATGATAAAGATCACCTTACAGCGAATATTTTCGACCGCAACCGATATGATATTATTTTCTTAAAAGGGACAAAAAAATTGATTAAATCGACGCTACACCCAAAATTTAAATCGGATACGATTCCTTTGGGAAAAAAATAACGAAACTCACCGATATGATTCCCTTCATCCTCCTCATTCATTCAAAAAAATATTCTTTCTGACAAGGAGAGTTGTTTAACAATCAAAAGCTTCCCTAGTTGGTGATCATTTCATACATTCTCGTGACTTTTATGTTTGAATCAGGGGTGATATTATAAAGAGAGATTAGATACTTGTCACTCTTGGGGATAAATGGCTCAAAATGATGGCTGGGTTTGCCAAAACATAATGACACACTCAAATAAGAATATGAAAGAGTTTATTATAGAGCCAACTAAGACAAAACCGTAATATAAAAAAACAACAACAAAAAACCTACTCACTATGTTAAATATTCAATTCATTCCTCGTAAATAAAAGTAAAATAAAGATAAAGAGAGTTTCAAATATTATTGTATGATATTCTATATAGTTCTCTATCACTGCTTGGAAAAGAACTTTTCACTGTTTTTTGTATCTGGGACAATCTGAAAAAAAAATAAAGTATTGAAAATCATTAGCCATACAGTAGCTTGCAGATCTCATCTAATAACTGCAAAAAAACTGTACATACTTCAAAAGAGAAAAATGTTGGTAAGAACATCATGAAACCAAGGAAGTAAACATTTACACCGCTTAATTTAGTTTTGTCAAGGAAGTTGTTAACCCTTGACTCCCATGAGTGACCAAGAAAGAATTTCTCCTTACAATATCAGTGCAATATCAACCAGGTAAGTGATGAGAATAAAGAAAATTATCAATTTGAGGATGATTAGTTGATCCAATACTAAACTCCTGTATCCCTTTAAACCCTAACATCAGTATGCATATTCTCCATACTGTTCTCTATACATTTCCTGAGGCGCTGACAAGGAGAATTTGTTTAAAAATCAAGAGCTTTTTAAGTTGGTGATCATTTCCTTGATTCTTGTGACCTCAATGTTTAATTCAAGAGTGATATTGTAAGGAGAAATTAGATGCTGGTCACTTAGGGGTTAAAGGGTTATTTATTAAAGTGTTCAGTGACAGGAGCAACAATGAGTAATTTCTCCGTACAAGTCATTATTTAACCTGAAAGGAATACAAAAACAAAGCCCTACTTACAGTATCACCTCCAGGACGCCATCCAGCAGGACAAACTAAAAACACAAATGTGAAAAACAAAATTATTTAGGAACACATCACAAGCAAAATTACTAAGAACAATTACACCTAAAACTGTTCTGATTAGTAATACCTTATTATTGCTTTACCATTTCTTTGTTGAAACGTGGTTACCATACCTTATACCTTACATAAAATAGCTTTTACTTTCTTTCACTTCAACCCTTAACTCCTAGAAGTGATTAAAAAGTAACTTCTCACAACAATTTCCATACGTCAGCCAGCAAACAGGTAATAAGAATGCTCAAACTTATCAGATAGATGTTACTAGATCTAGCACTAAATTCTTGTAACTAATTAACAAGGAAATGTGTTGCAGCTTGAGGGGATAATTAATAACCAGGATTCAGTTGTAGAAAGGGCGGACTGGGGATAATGCTATCCAATGGATAAATCGCTATGCAGCAGATAACTGATAGCAAAATGTATCACATTATCTAATGTTTAAAGATGTATCAGACAGACAGTTGAGAAGGAAATAAAGGAGATGGGGAAGACCTGGGAGGGCATCAAGTTCATGGCAAGGGATCGCCAGATGTGGAGGGAACACGTTGCTGCCCTACATGCCTGTTAGGCGTAAAGGGCATGAGTGAGTGAGTGAAAGATGTATCCAGAGGATAGCGTTATCCAACCTTTGAACAACCGGGGCCAAGATAAAAAACAAAAGATTCAAGGAAATGCCTTATACCTAGAGGGGAGAAGTAACAGTCAGATCTTGGGAGTTAAAGGGTTATGAAATCACTGTATGACAGCTCTAACCACAACAGGTGCTGTAGATTATATAAGATACAATAATTCTCTCCAATGGATAGATCACTATCCAGTAGATAAGTGTTAACAAAACATACTGTGTTATTCATTGGATAGAGATTTATCCAGTGGATAGTGTTATCCATGCTTCAAACAACCTGGACCTGTAGATTATACATATTACAATAAGCAAAAAAAGGTGCTAGAAGGCAATGTCTTCCTCACCTTCTCCATGTTCATCAGTAAACTTGAATGCTTGAACCAGTCGCAAGACTTCATCAACTGACCTCCCCACAGGTAAGTCATTCATTGTGATCTGCCTCAGGATCCCTTTGTCATCAATGATGAACAAACCCCTGTAACAGAAAAGACACAAATCTAGTTCCTCTAACTCTAAGTTATTAAGATTTGTGTGGTGGGATGGGAGAGTAACAGACCAAAGCCCTGTTTAAACTGTTCACGATTTTTGATGATGGTTTCAGTTATCATTCACTACCATCAACTACCTTGTTTGCATTCAAAATGTTCATTGATAGTTAATGAAAACCATGTAATTTGACTTCCCCCCTGAAATCCTCTTCCTGCCCCAGTGGGTAACAACAACCTTAACCCTTTAACTCCCAGAGGTGATTAACATGTAACTTCTCCCTATAATATCTGTACATCATCCAACAAACAGGTAATGAGAATACTCAAACTTATCAGGTAGAAGTTTTCACCTTGATCTAACACCAAATTCTTGCAACTAACTAAAAAGGAAATGTGTAGCAGCTATAAGGGAGAATTAACAATAAGATCTTAGGAGTTAAAGAAATTTATATTTGTTTACCTGAGTGCTACACCCTGATCTTCCAACAGAACACCATAGTCTTTTGAAATCTGCTTTGTTATATCAGAAAGAAGAGGGATCTGCATTTTCCCCAGTCCTCCTTTCTTGCGTGGTTGATTTGTCCTAAAGAAAGTGAAAAAAAGATTGTCTCAATATTGCTGTCATCCACACCCTTTGACCCCAAAGAGTGACAAGCATCTGATTTCTCTTTAAAATAATGCCTCTGAATCAAACATTAAAGTTGAGAGAATAAAGTTAATGATCAACGACCAAAGACCTTGATTGTCAAACAAATTCTCCTCATCAGCACCTTACAAAATGTATAGAGAACAGTATGGTGAATATGCATACTGACGTTAGAGTGACAGACAGCTAACATTCATAACATTTTTTCTAACATCTTTGATTATTGATTCTTTTGAGGCAATCAAAAATCTCCTGAAAAATGATTAAGACACTGGCTTGCTTTTCTGAAAACCTGGAGCTCACATTAAGCCACTAAATAATAACCACAACAAAATTAAGTGTTAAGGGTTTCATTGATTTTTTTTCCCCCCTATGGCTATTTATTTGTTTTTAATTTTTTGTTAAAGACCCTCCTGAAATACAGCTTTGCGTTTCTTGCTGCCTCCTCATTAAATATTATGTTTATTAAAATCTGTTTTCCCTTCTTCTTACTGATTCATGCAATTCTGCTTCGGCTAACCCTGAGAGTGACCAGCATCTAATTTCTCCTTAGAGAACTACTGCTGAATCTTTAAAAAAGTTCATAAAAATAAAGGAAATGATTTCCAACCTAAGAAGCTATGATTGTTGAACAAATTCTCCTTATCAGTACCAAAGGAAATGTATGGAAAAGACTATGGAGGATACGGCTACGGATACCAGTATTAAGGTGTAGAGGATAAATTCTCTCCATATCAGTTACCCTCTTACCAAGCTAAATGCGAAAAGTGTGAATCCACAGAGCAAGCAATCACTGAACAGTTGATTGCTTCAAATTCCTGGACTCGGTCACTGAAAGCAATGATCTCTGTGGGACAAACAAATGTGCTGAAAATAAAAAGGAAAAAAAAATTGAGAACAACTTACTTAGTTTACAAGTGTCTACAACATCATCAAAGGTCAAAGTATTTGTGTATGTTAACCATTCAACTCCCAGAAGTGATTAACATGTACCTTTTCCCCATAATATCCATACATTACCCAACAAACAGGTAAAGAGAATACTCAAACTTATTTCACAGAAGTTGTTATCGGGATCTAACACCAAATTCTTGTATCTAACTATCAAGGAAATGACTAGCAGCTAGTGGGGAGAATTAACAACCAGATCTTAAGAGTTTAAAGGTGTACTAGTTAAGAGAATATGCTACGAGCTTTGTGCCTTTTCGATTTTGTTCTACACAATACAAAAGAAATTTCAGGGTTGTCTGAAAGTGAGAATTTGTTTAATGCTGTTTCATATTGTATTGACTCTCACCGTATATCTTGTGTAAAAAATTATTTTTATTGCTCCAAAAATTTTCTTTTCTGCTCATTTTCCCTTTTTTTTTTTGGCTACTTAAGCTACATGTATCTCTGCGATACTGCCACAAATTTTGGTCACCAAATGCTAACTCTGAAAAGTGTTCAGCTTGAATGATTGACAAATCAAGTCAGAAAGTCAGCAGTTTACTTTTCCTGACGTTTCAAAACCCAACATTTAAAATTACTACCATTAACACCTCATTAGCAGCTCTCACATTTAGCAAATGGAGTTAACCTTTTCACACCCATGATCTCATTAGCAATTCTCTTTAGTTCAGAGAATTTGGTACTAGATCAACAACTAATCGATCCCCTGATGAATTTTTGTGCCTTGTCATGTTATTCTTTATTCTCATTACTTGCCTACTTGTCAATGTATAGACATTGTATGGAGAAATTCTTTTTTGGCCATTTATGAGAGTGAAAGGCTTAATAAGAGTACAAAGGTTCTACATAAGTCATAACAAATAGGGAGAAAAAGAGCTTCAAAAGATGCATTTTAATCCAGTCCCAGAGGGAAAGTTAGCTTTTGAAATTTTCCAACCCTAAGGCAACATTACCCTTAGCTGTTCACTGCTGTTTATCAGCAGCACAAGCACACCTTAATTGATTGAGTTTTTTATTTCACACAAACATTTTGTGGGTTCTTCAAATCCAAGACAATCTTTAGTAAAACATGATGGTAAAATTGTGTTGGTTGACAAAATAAAAGCTTTTTTTTTTTTCACCTAAGGCCATATAAACAGCTTTCAACCTGCTTTAGTATACATGTATACCTGTAATAATTAACAACATCTCAAAACAGTAACCTTTCCAAGACAAACATTTGATGTATGCTTTGTACCTCTTTTGAGATGTTTGACTAATAAAATAAACAGATCTGGCTAAATTTCATTAAAAGCAGAGAAAATGTTTGATGACAAATATTGATATGTAAATTTGAGAAAAATTAATTGCTTTGTTGGCTGTTTTTTTTAAATTTTGTTCTCTTATTGCTATTATAAATCGCAAATATTAGACTGGTAGACTCTTTTTAGTAGCCTAATCTAAAAATTGCAGTATAAAACTTTTCTCGCATGCTAATTGATAGACGTACATTCAAACAGGAAAAAAGGCAATGACGGAAATTAACAATAATCAGTTTGACAAACTATTAGATATACGCTTTTCGCCAACAAGTCCGATAGAAAGAGAAAGCTTTACACGTGCAAGAAGTTCCGTATCTTAGCACGAAAAAGGTACAATTTTAAAAGAAGGAAATGTCTACGACTCACTGATTTAAGATCTGACGTAAACGGTCTGTGGTCCAATATTAAGATAAGTATTTATAACACACAGTGTTTTTTTTTTTCCGAGGACATTATCTGGTGATTCGATGAGTTTCAATTTTAGAAAACTTGACAGTACTGTAGTATCGATCAAAGACGCCGTGAAATGAGTACAGCTATTAATCTTCTCGAGGTGCAAGGACATCATGTCCTTGAAATTAATTGAAGACACGAATGCATAGAGATCGAATCAGAAATCGAGGTCAGCTGTACAAACCTGGCCTCAACTCGATTCACGTCAATTTTCAATCGTCACAACGGAAAAAAATTCCCAGCGAATGGGTCACAAATTTTATCCTATCGAAAAGTTCTGAGCAAGCAACAAGAGAAGTTTTTTTTAAAAAGCAAACAGTAACTTAAATGCTATGTTAATTACGTAACCATTTATTCAAAGTATAACACTGATCGAATGTGAAAACACCATTGGGAATGAAAATTAACCTTACAATCGCTCCTTTTCAAGCATTTCACGTTTCACTGGAGCGTTGCAACTGTTTTTCTTATTCACTTCATGGTAACTGATGATCTAATTATTCAGGCAAGATGGGTTTAAGGTTCAATCAAACCAAAGCTTACGAAATCCGTTCACCTGTAAATTCTACGCTTAACAGTTCGTTAACTTTCAGTCTACTTACAAGTTCAGCGGGTAAAAGAACAGCACCACATATTTTCCTGCACATAAAAAGGAACACGGTTAGCGAAATCAAAAGAAATAAAGCACATTTTTTCCAATAAAAAGCTGATCTCATACCTTTGAAGTCTGAAAGCTTTATATCTACAAACTCTCCATAATGGTTGACAGCCGTCCCAGAAAATGGCGGCGCCGGTTTTTGAATGAACGCCTTACTCATCGTAGAGCTGTAAAATAAGCGAAAAAAAGCAGAATAAGAAAACTAAGTGGTTAATTTATCAGGTATTATTTGTTGACATACTTTGATGAACCGGTTCTTTCCTAGCAGGGCGTAATTCCACAATCGAACTGACTAGGAACCCACGTGAAAGCAATCTTTATTTTGGTAACCTAGAACTTAGCTCTCCTGACCGTCGCATGAAATCGAGACTACACGCTGTCTTTGTTTCCTGGGGTTGTAAAGATTACTTAATTAAATAGCATGAATGCCCTGGCACGATCCAAAATAAATACGAATTCACTTGACGATATATGGAAAGATATATACATCAGTTTTTTACCCGGAGAGAATAAAAAAACTAATAGATCTCTTATCAAATCATTGAATAATATTGAAGCAGCTGTACTAATGTACTTAATTTTTTAACTATTGTAAAATTTCCATATGAAAACAGACATTGTTCTCCTTAAAAAGCGATTTCTATAGAGACTCATGAACTCAATCTATGTAGAAAGATAACATAAATCTCTCTAGGGGAAATAAAATGGGTGTAACTGATATTGCATTCATAATTTTCAGTTTAAATCAAATTAAAGATTTTGAATACCAAACAGTGTCTTGCAATTCACTAGTATGAACTCACACCCACAAGGGTATGTAATTTGGGATGGACTTGTTAATTTTCTCTCTGCAAGGACAGATGTGGCTATGACCCAAAAAAGCAAAAATAGAAGTAAATTTTCTCAGACTTTATTTTAAGCAAGACAGGTAAAAGAAACCCATGCAGCAATCCTATTACCTGTTAAATTTTCCTGAATTCCGGGTACTTTTAACCCTTTAACTCCCAGACAAAGTTTGTAATTCTCCTTACTGTTAACCATACAATTGTTTTAATGTTAGTTCAGAGAATTTAGTATTAGATCATCCAATTATTCCTAAGTTGATATTTTTCTCAATTCTCATCGCTTACCTGTTTGATATTGTATTGATAATGTAAGGAGAAATTCTGTCTTCGTCACTCATGGGAGTTAAAGGGTTAAGAGGTAACACAGGTGGTAAATTTTACTGGCTACTGTCTAAAAAGGAGAACACTGGTAGTATGGATAAAAAAAAAACAAAACAAAACAAAACACAAGAAACTCTGTCTAAGTAACCCACAGCATGCAGACAATTGAGAGCAAAACTACTGCATACATACAAAGGTAAATGAGCATCCTGCTTAATCTCATATTACAAAAAACAATTTGCCACTATTTATTGCCTTGTGGTGAGGGGTCAGTGGATTTCAGGGGGATTCTGTGGTTTTCAAGTAAGAACAAGGAGGGATCATTTATCGCTAAGAGAGGGGGGGTGTAAAGGGAGGGGACTTTGGAAAATTACTTCAAATGACAAGGGATCATCAGTATACTGCAGAATATCGTGACACAACCAAAATTCTCCAATCAGCCCCCCAACCATCCACTATTTATTGCCTTGTAGTGAGATGTCTGAGGATTTTGGGAGGATTCCATGGTTTTCAGGGGGGGAACAGTGGGGATCATCATTGCAGAGGAGGGGTACGAAGGGAGGGGACTTTAGAAAATTGACTTCAAATGAGAGGGGATCATCAGAATACTGCAGAACCCTGTGAGACAACCAAAATTCTCTGACTACACCCCCCTGCCCCACCCCAGGCAGTAAATAACAATGACCAGTCCCTGATAAAATATTTCACAGCCCTTTCCTCTACCCTCCTCTCTACTGTGCAAAAAAAAAATTATAATAAACTAAATCATCATGACAAATGCAAATGAAGCTGTGTGTTTTTAAAAACTTTTCAGGTAAAAATACATGCTCTACTTGAAAATCTCACTCTATAAAACAGTTTTTTCAACCACTACAACTCAAACACACAGAAACCGAAACGGGCGGATTCGCTAGGTCAAGGAAATTTTCATATAAATCCTTGAGGAAGTACATTGCCTAAATTTAGCACTGACGTTTCAAACAAACTCAAACACACCGCACCCGAGACGGGCGGATTCTGTTGACTAAACAACAAAAGTTGCCTATAAACCGTATATCCTCAGTCAAAAAATTTCACTAACATAATAAAACAATTGCAGTGGTACTCATAAAAAACCTCAGACACGTTACATAATAGCAAGCGAAGCGCGAATAAGGTCTTAACTAGGTAATAATGCAGATCGAGTAAGCGAGTTCTGGCGAAAGAATGCATTCCAAATTGTTCATTCAGTGGGTTGTCAGTATTTAGGACTGTTTAACAGCTCTGGGTAAACAAAAAGCTGACCATATTAATCGACTGGATATAGAGAGCTAAAAGTTCTTTGAGGAAATAAACATTGCTACTTAAATCGTACATTAATACCCACTTACGGAAATAGAATATATAATTTTGATGTCTGCAATCGGAGTAAAAAGAAGGTAAATAATCTAATACGTTGATACTTGAGAAACCCATCACTGCCTTCATGGCAAATCTGAACCTGAGGAAAAATTATTCGCTATATTTTGAATTACAAGAAGAAAGCGGACCTAAATACTATCGTACCTTAATCGGTGTTGCAACGCGAAGGTACTTCGACACAATTCGTTTAAAGGAACCGTTCTCCGAGCCTGCTGCAGATTGATTTTGGGACTAAAAGAACGGAAAATTTGAGGAGAGATTCTTCTTGCAATGAGGGAAAATCCTGCAGCAGCCATTGGGAAGTGTAACAGTTGTCAAAAGAAAAGAAAACAGGTCACACAATCAACGAAGTGGAAAAGGTTGAACTTTATACTTTGTTGAGCCCGCACTGCGTTAGCGACTTCCTTGTAAAAATAAATTTTGGAATGGACTTGCTGAAATAAGGAACTAGAAACCTCTTTAGAAGAAAGTAAAGACAGCGGCATTTTCTTCGAACGCCCGGACCGAAATAAAAAAAAAACCGGTTAAAGAAAGTTTGATGGCTTGCGTTTTAACGTTGTTGGCGTTTTTTTTTTTTTTGGCGCTCGATGAAAATAATGGCGATGGAGCAGCGAAAAGTTAAAGGAGCATTAGAGCTTGAAGTCAAAACGCGCACAAAAGCAAGGAGTTTCAATTATTTTCTCCAAATGTTGTGAAATATTGTTTCGTATCAACTTCAAGCATTCGTTCAACTCTAAGAGCTATGGATATAAATATCTATGTTTATCTGAGATGTTTCTTCTCTAATTTTGGCATAAGGCCAAGAGTACTCTTCACGAGAGAGTTCCGGGCAGTTTAAAAGCCCTTAATCACCCCTTCCCCGGAGAAATCGGTGCTAAAATATCAAGTTATTTAGAGCACTGTCCCTTTCTTTTTAGAAGACCTAAACGATAAAATCCCTCGCAGCGATATTCTGACCGAGCGATAAGAGGTAAGGGATGGGGTGTGGTTTCCTTCCGTAGTACTTAATGTGGGTGGTAAAAACGCGTCATGGGAAAGGGTCTAAGGGTGCTCAATCATTCTGAATATAGATTTCTACTTTTCCATTTTTATATCTCACAATTTAAATCCCTGTCGGGGAAGCCCCTTGGAAAATAGAGAGTGGTTGTAAGAAGTGGTTGATAATTTTACCATCCTATTTGAGGTTTCCTCCGTTTTATTACGATCACGCTCCGGGCGCAAACGTCAAATATCAGGCAGAATCTCACACCCCTTTTTTTCATGCGCTGGGAGCTTTTATCGGCCCAGTATATGACTAATCATAAGTGTCCTTGTTTCTTGAAGTTAAGATTTCCCCTTTACTAACGTCGTTATCTAATATTTTGCCATCGGCAAATGGAGAAATGGAAGCAAAAAGTAAACGAAGTAGGAGCAAGATTAAGGAAACACTTTATTCTTACTGACTAAATCCAAATATCAGTAGCTTAAATATCTGCAGTGATGGCTGATCAAATTGAAATTTCATATGAGGATAAAAAAAATGTGCTTTAAATAGATATCACATTCAAAAAAGGAGCGTACATTTTTTTCCCGCCCAGTAAGGAGTAAATAGCTTATAATAACAGTGCAAAATGATCATTTCCACATAAATAGTAATTAAAAATTGATCAATAATAATTTATAATGGTATCCGTTCCTGTGATTGTATTTTTGTTCATCTTAACCGTCATAGTGAGCAAAATATTGTTGTTATCTCACAACAACAGACTAAACAATAGACTAGGTTAGCTGATAATTAAGAGCTAATCTTGTGCCCTGATCCTTTCGTGTAATTGTAACCGCCTAGCCGTGAAAAGTCTGGGCACTAGACTGATTAAGAGCTGTAATACTTGGTTACTTTGCTAGGGGGTGGGGGGGGAATTCCTATGAGTTATGCCACCCTATGATAAAAAGAAGAAAAACCAATGATATTATAGCAACCTGCCCACAAGTTGCTGATTTAGAACTTCCCCCTTCCCTGAAGGACCTTGTCAAAGAAAATTAATTATTATTATTTATAACTATTTACACACTGGCAAGCCTCCAAATGCAAGGCAAACGTTATTACAGCACCCACCCTCCCCACCCACTCCCAACACACGCCCTTACTTGTCCCTATTAAGGCTTCTATATCCCGAGAAAAATCCGGTTCCATATAATTTTGCCGACCCACAACGAATCATAATGCATTTTGGATTATTTCACTTCAAAACAATTCAGAAATAACACCATTATGTCAAAAACCAGAAGGATGAGATTTTCAAATGAAAGTACTCGCTTAATTAGCTACATTAGAAGTAAACATTTCTTCAGGTCTACCCTAAATATATTATTACGAAATAACTTACCTTTTGCTGTAATAAATCGCGTCGAATTGGTTGAATCCTTTATTATCAGTTAAATGAATCAATCATTTTTTCTAAGTCAATTTCTCGGTTAAGAATTCATCTCGTATTATTAGCTGGGAATGAGCACCGAAAATATATGACTCCTAGCTGGAAGAAACATTCCTATTGCCGTTACATCCCGTTAAATTTAACATACAGTTTTCATTATTTTTACATAAACACTAGCCAAAAAAAAAATGACTTTTCTCGGACAGTTTTCAAACGAGTGTCGAGAGTATGCCGGGAAGGCATAGCAGGTTTTGCGCCACTCTCTAAACCAATCAGACATGACTTCGCCAGTTGCGTTTTCCCGCGCTTCAGGCCATTTGTAGACGTGCTTTTTTTTTTACCATGAGGTCTCATTGGTTCCCTATCACAGCCGCCTTCTTCCTGATAAGCTTTTGTAAATATTTAAGTTGTGGTCTCGCGACACTCAACTGAAAAGTGATCCACTCATGGCGATACACGTTAACAACTTATTACCCTTATAATATAAGTTGACCAAAGATTCCGGTAGAAGAAAGCAAAGAAGACTAACTCGTCCCTACTCGTCTCGTATTTTTCGCGGGAGACTAGCACTAGTGCAGATCCCACGCCTTCCCTAAACGTAGACAGACGACTGAGGACGAGTCAGCGAAGAAAATAAAGAAATTTCTTGCTAAATGGGTGTTCATCATCTAGAATCTCGAGATCGTCGGTGAAGCCGTCTCCTGAAATAAAGTGAATTTGCATTACTAAGATGTTCCACAGAGTGTCTACTGTCTGTCTTTTATTAAATAGGTCACGTCACTAGGCGGTTTTCAGTTGATTTGCGTCGAACAAAACTACTTCAATTTGAATGAGGATACAAAATATTTGTTCAGCAACATTGAAAACGTAACGTGTGAGCAGGCCCTCAGTATCAGCGCAGCAGGGCGAGCGTTTCTTCTTGCACATGAAGAATGTAGACGAGTCGATGAGAGGTATGCTAGAACAACATGCTAACCTCTCGCAGGCTAGCGTTGCTCAATACTTCAAACTTTCTCACGGGTGAAGAAACGCAAGTTATGATGGCCTGCCCACAGGCTATACAAAACGGAAACGAGCCACTAACAAACCAACAGGGAACATGGACTAGGGATGGTGAAGATTGAAACGGTTTGGGAATCACGATCTTGAAAAATCATAGATAATGTCTCTCTGAATTTATATACTGTGTTGAACGTGACAACGGTGATGTCACGCAACACCAGACCTAAATTAACAAGAAAGTGTATTTCATGACCTTCAAAAGGGTAGTAACTGAAAATGCGTAGAACGAAGGTTATGCATCGGGAAGGCAGAGGGAGAAAAATAGGAATGTCTGGTATCCACTAGTCTCTCTAATTATTAAAAAAATAACGAAGCAAAACAAAACCCAACGATGCAAGGGGGAGGAAGAGAATTCATTTCTTCTTCCTTAGGTTCCAACCTTGTTTCCAGGGTCGCTCTTCTTCCTTCGGTGGTGGGAAGAACAGAGACCATGGAGACAAGCCCCTCAATAGTCCCTGGTATACTTCAAGCTCGTTACCAGTAACTCAGAGTGATTACGAAACGAGAGAAAGTCGAAAGCAAAAAGACCCCTTAATTCTTCGACTAGCTATACTGGGTTTTAAACTAAAAAAAAAAGACTGCTGTTTGCGTTCTTACAGAAACATTCTTCTTCTGGGCCGTTGCACAGCGTTTCTATTATGTTTCCACATAAAATCCTTTGTGTCAATGGAGGATACACAAGTGAATATTGATCAGAAAAGAACTTATACTCCTGTATATCACATGAATACTATCACTAATAGCCGCACACTTCTCCCTTAGCTAGTTGTAAGAATTTAAAATGAAATCGAAGTCTTATGACAAGTGTTTTTCCAGGGAAATTGATGAATTAACCCTTCAACACCCAAGATCTGGTTGTCAATTCTCCCATCTAGCTGCTAATCATTTCCTTGTATGATAAATGCAAGACTTTGATGTTGGATCAAGATTACAAATTCTACCTGAGAAGTTTGATTAACCTCATTGATTGTTTGGTGGATCATGTATGGATATTATACGATCAATGTTGGAAGTTAAAGGGCAGTTGAATTTAGCCTAGCTCTGATTGGTTTAGGAAAAGAGTGTGACATTTTCAGTCCAATCATAGCAAAGTAGAGTTCAATCGATGCAAACCGGGATCAATTTTGACACTCTTTTCAACACTGCGGTAAAAGAAAACAAAAAGAATACCTTACCATATGTGAAGACGTATTGCTGTTGGATCCTGAGCTGTTGATCTCAATGTTAACGAAGAGAGTTGCATAGCCTAGAGATTCACCTTTGTTACTCAACAAATGAATATGCCTGTAACCTGGATTAAAAAAATTATATGCGTCAAACTTTACAGGCAGATGTCGATCAAATAATCTTATCTATGCAGATGGATTGAAGGCTATCACGTCGATTCACGTGATGTTCTATTTTGAAAGAAGTTAAGAGGCAAGCAGAATATCGAGTGATTAACAATGATTCCGGCAAAGTGCTGCAAAATCTTTGAACAATTTTTGTGTTGAAATGTGATCATTAAGGTAATTTTAAATTGGAAAAGACACAGAGAAACAGCGAGCGCTCGACTTGCAATGGGGTGAAAGTTGCAGATACTTAAGAGAACTCTCAAACGGCTCGTAAGGTATCAACCAAGGCGAGTGTTTTCAAAATTTTTCGCGTTATTCCTCACACTGTGGTTTATAAAGCCACTAAGCAAATTGAAAGAGTGGTCAATGGCTTTGAGGCTAGAACACATATACCCGATAAGTCGCAGCGATAATAAAGAGAGCGATCATTCCATCTCACACAAATACCTGGTCTTAAACTGGTAAAGGGTATGGAGAATTGGCCAATAAAGTCGTCCGCAATTCCAACATCTTCGTCGAATACGGCAAATCGAATCATGGTGAGCTCCGGCATCAGCAAAACCTTTTCAAACCTCTCATTCCACATTGGATTAAAACCTGCAAACACATAAAACAATCTTAATTGTTCTAAATAGTATCAATCGATCGAAAAAGTGATCTTGAGGGGGAGACTTGGGCTGAAAAGGTGGTGGACGGGGAGGCTGGGGGAGCGGAGAGGGAGGCTATACGTTGAAGAGCATGTCATTATGCTACTCAATCACCCTACCAGAGCGCACGAAGTATTTCTCATGTCAGCCTATCAGCGAACGCATCATAAAATCGTGCTTCTGTAACAAAGTCGACAAAAATTTTTTATTACCATTGTCTTTGACGACTTTCGTCTTGAAAGACGCCGTGTCAGCTTGTATGCCATGAAAGTCGAGTTTTACATAAGGATCAATGATCTGTAAAGAAAAAAAATCTGATTTCAGATATTCTGTCGTCAAAATCCACCTGGACTCCATAGTCGTCATATTTTCTGGTAAGCAGGTGCTTAATATTTCGATCGAATGATGAAGCCGCCATATTGGATTGGGAAGATACGAGAAAGCCTGGAGCCGGTAAGATGGTGCACAAGGGAGGGGATAGTGGGAACACAAGGGAGGCGATAGTGGCGAACGATAATGACAGGCAAAAGGAGTCTAAGCGTACCGCTGCTGTCTGGGCCTAAAAACGTCTGTATCTAACATAGTTATAAAATAGCACCCCAGTTCCAGTAGCAAAAGAATCGTAAGCAGTTGAGACAACAACCTCTAAACTTGGACAGTATAACCACAGGCACTTGTCCACTTCAAACATACCTCTCCTTTTTCTCCTTCTTTAGCTGGCTTTGGAAGTTGTTGACCAGAAATGACCTGGAAAAATACACATAAACAAGAATACAGTCTTCCAAAACTTTCTCAAGATTAATTGATGAAAACCCTAAGGTAAATAGCTGTAAAGGACGAAAGGCAATACTGAGTAATTACTGAAAATTACAGATTCATCGTCAATAAACACGGAAAACTTTTTTTAATATCCGTGTATTTTAACAAAATAGCAGAGCTTTGAACAAGTTGACTGTCCAGTTTTGAGCGACTTTTCTTATGTGGACACAACTGTGTGCAAAGAAGTGAAAAAGAAAGCACTTTAAACGATTTCAGTAAAACGCTTTTCCGTTGATTGTCGTAAAATCAAGTGCAATGTAATCCCTACGGTTAAACACAAAACTTAAGGAATTACCCAAAGAAGCCAATCAGAGCCCAAAACGCTTCGAAGGCGGGAAAACGCAGGTGACAAAATCGCGAACGGTTTTGCTTTACATTTGATTGGTTGAGAAGATGGCTCGAAATTTCTGGACCGATCACAGAGCGAAATAAAAGAAACCCATTGTAATTCCAGATTACTTTGGACACTTAACTGAAAACTGATTAAAGCTGCCGCCTAAAATCATAACGTAGAGGGTGCAGTTTAGAAATGTAAGAGACTACATTACCGTTATGGATAGAGTAACCTTCTCCACACCGGGAATTTCTGTCTTAGTGAGAGGATTCAACTTTAATGAGGCTAAAAAAAAACAGGAGAAAGGTTTTAGAAATATATTATGGTCGAGGATGTCATAGAAAAAACTACTTTGACAGACCGCCATAGAAAGCAAAAGTAGTGTTGTGAACTGATCAAAACAATTATTTTGTATTTTCCTTATAAGTGTACACCAGAGGGGCACTGGGGACAGGGTAGACCCGAAGGCGGAAAAACGCGGGTAACCACGTTGCGATTATTTTTTGCTGTACATTTGATTGGTTGAGAAGGTGGCACGGAATTTCAGGACCAATCACAGAACAATTATTTCAAATTTACCTTACATATGTACTCCAAACGGGCACTGAGGACGGGGTAGACTCAGGAAAACATAAAGGAGAAAAGCAGAGCTGTTTGGGGGCACGAAGCAAAGGTTCCTCACATGTCAATGAAAGTTTCGCATAACATGTAAAACTAGGGAGACAGGGATTTCTTTCGTCCCTCAAGCTAAGGTTTACTTGCCTGCTGATTCAAAAGAACCTCCACTCAATGCAATCGTGAGGAAAGCGTGCTTTAGCAGAGGGTTGAAGGAATAACTCAAGGTTACCGCATGAAAGCTCCTGAGGTTATTGAAGGTTCTAAATAAACTTGGAAATACTTACAGTCTCGTAGAACTTTAGGCTTCAGAATATAGCCAGCTCGTCCATTTGTTCTAAATTTTCCTTGGTTCAAGTGCATGGGTTCAGAATCCGTTTGGTAGTTTAAGGCAACTATTGTCAAAAAGGAACAATTAAAGTAAACTCTCTGGTGTAATTCAAAGCAGGGAGGTTAAAGAAGCTGCTGTGCTGCGTCGGCATGCGAATCAAATAATCAGCTGCTTCTCAATTTAAAATTGAAAAAGGTAGTTAAATAACCGCAACGAATTTTGAGAAGTTGACCCTAGAGTCTCGTCGGATTTCAACGCTACCCACCCTCCCTACCCCTACAACCATGGGATACTATTGATTTAAAAACAACTTCTCAGAGCTAAAACTGTAGGAAATATACGGCAAAGAGTGCGGAGAATTTATTATTAGATCTCGGAAAAGGGAGGGTAAACATACCTATTTGACATCCCGCGTTCCAGGCCTGTTGAGGGTTGTAGTTACTAGAGTCCACTCTCCCTCCGGCCGGGTAAATTCTGCTGAGCTGTCTCTTGTTGTATTCAACGAACTCAGCTCCTTGAGAGTTTACCAAGTTGACCATTTTGGATTCCACAAAAGAGGACATTTGGTGAAACTTGCCTGTTTGAAAAAGCAGAGAGAAGACGGAAGATGTTATTCATACGTTATGAAAGTCGGGCAGGGAGAAGTCTACGCACAAGTGAAGAAATGATCAAGTAAAAGAAATTTCAGAAAGAGCTTGAAAAACTTCAGGCTGTGACAGGATTCGAACCCATACCTCCTACGCTTTTCACTTCCTTTCATTGTCAATGTTTCCCCATGTTGTGAAAATTCCCACACTTTTCAGAAGAAACAAGTTAACCAATCATCCCTACCAGAAGGAAGGTAATCTGATTGGCCGTGATATGAGTGTTGCAAGACTAAAACCAAAGTTGTCACGACGACCAATCAGACGAAGTGAAAGAATTTAAAGAACCAATGAGAACTCAAATTAAAACCAAGCAAAATACCAAAAGCGCGGGAAAACGCGGGTGACCAATTCGTGTTTGTTTTCAGTTTTGCATCTGATTGGTTGAGAGAGAGTGGTGCGAGTTTTCTGGACCAATCACGACACTCAATTGAAAATGGCTCTTAAATGCTTACTATTTTGTTTGGCGTGTTCAAAACCCTTGAATCCCACACTGGACACGTAGTTTACGCAGCGGGAGAGCTCTTTTGCCAGCTTCTGTTTATTCTTTTTCTTGCCGCTCTTTTCATCCTGTGGAAAAGAGTTATCAATAAGGTCTAACACAATTCTCCTCCGTAAGTTACATCGAAAACGAGTAACCTTGCAAAACTGGAATTCCTGAGGGTTGATGCTTTTAAATATGTAACGATTGCATCTGTAAAACCAGCAACATTGTGAGTAAAGCGCAAGTTGAGCAATTGGTTACCTTAAAAAATACCCCATCAATCATGGAATAATAAAGAAACAAAAAGAAGGCACTCCAGGAAAACCTGTATTGTTGGCGCATCTTTTGACGCCTATCATTGACCATTATCTAATTTCTCCCTACAACATAATCCCCGAATCACACAGAAGGTCATGAGAATAAAGGAAATGATCACCAACTAAAGAAACTTTTGATTGTTTAGATACAAATTCTCCTTGTCAGCTCCTCAAGAAATGTACGGAGAACAGTATGGAGAATATGCATACTGATGTTAGGGTGTAAAGGGTTGACGTTTTCAGCTGGAAAAACGATATTTAATCAAACAGATCACCGAGTCCTCGTTCGGAAATCGAATTCTGTTGTTGTGATAGGCACTGCGCGTTTTACACTTTTTTTCTCTCACTGTTCCAACAGTGAAGGTAATTATATTTCACCACTGCCAATCAAGATTATTTCACGAACATATCGAGATTCTTAGAAAATTTAAGTAACAGAGATTTCCTTTTGTTCTCGTAAACTTGTTGGAGTCGGAATTGGGCAATCATGGTCTAGCGGTCCTAGAGGGGGGCTGAATTTATCTGTTCCTACTCACAAAACCTAAAAATGATTCCATAAGGTCGCTGATCTCTTTCGTGAAGCGGGCAGGAGAATACATAAACATGTAAACAAGGAAACCTTCTTTATCCGAATCAAAATACGATAGCTAACGTTAAGAGTGCAAAACTAGGTTTAAATTTGTTCTAGAATTAACAATATTCCGCTGACACTGTGCATTTTCTTTTAAAATGTCTATATAATTAATTGGTTCACTGTACTTTGTTAGTGTTAGAGCTCCAGACAAATTACTCTGCATGTATCAACATATCATTTTCAGTTTACAGGATGTTACGACGTATTGAAGCTATTTTACGCCTGGCAAAACTTAACTAGACTTTCCGGCTGACATGCAGTTTACAATTCAAAGACTTCATGCAGTTAAAATTGTCGTCTGAATCTAAAGGCTGTTGAGATCTGCGAGGCTTATTTATTTATAGCTGGATCAATTATATTGTAATTCAGGAACAGAATTAATAACGTTAAGGAGGAGAAAGAATCCTAGCTTTCTTTACTTTAAGCTGTAGAGGTTAATTATTCTTCGCGATAAGGTTATAAGATGTCAGTATTAGAAAAAATTTACCATGAAATCATATGCTTTAGTAGCATGTTCCAGGCGCTCAGTGAGTCAAACACAGCGAAACAGTCAACGGTGAGATAGCAATGAAAGATTGAAAACGAGAGAGATTTGGGTCGGGTGGCACAGTCCATTACGCAACCCGACCCAGACCTCCCTGGTTTTTTCACTCTTCCACTCCAATCGCGTCGTGTTCTTCCGCGCTTCGTTTTACAACTGAACGCCTGAAAGAGGCTAATGCTCGAAAGTACCTACATCATTTTTATTTACCTTGATACTTGCAACAGATTCATCAATTTTTCTTTCTTTAGCCATTCTCCTTTGAGTTCAATTTAAAGTTTAACAAAGCTAGAGCATTCTTCCAGTGACAAAACATAATATAAGCGCTTTGATTTAAAATTTTAAAATTTTCTTAACTATAGGCGATGGTAATCTACTCTAACAAGTAAATCTAAGCGCACCTTTTGTAGGATAGCGCGGTTCTAGATTTCCCCTAAATTTTTCAAAGATTTCAGGGCATTTATTACAACTGTCACTGTGAAAAGAACGCTCCAACTTGAACTTAACGAAGTTTATTGTTATCAGCATGAAATTTAAGCGTTTACTTACATCTGTTTCGTCTTTAAATTTACCAGCGCTGCGTACCACTTTACCAACGGAACGAAAAGATCTACGAATGCTTTCCTGGTAAATACATGGAACAAAGAACGATAAACTGAAGATTTAATTAAAACTATTTAAAAATATATATTTATGACTTTAGTCAGAGAAGGTTATGTCTAAAACTTAAGGAAGCCTGTCAAAGATTTACTAAGACAATTTTCTCTTAATTCTTTCAAGAATCAATCAATACCAATCAATTCATCAAAACCATACCTGCCTCAAAGTTATTTCGGAAAATGTTTTTAACCTTAAAATATCAAACCTTTAATTATTAAAATATTTAACAAATAATTCCTTTAGAGAGATAAAAAAAAAAAAACATTTGGGGAAACCTGGACAAAAGGGGAACTCAGGGAAGGGAGGGTAACTCACTAATGGAGCAATATCCTAACATTCTACATCAATAGAAACTCAACTGAAATTTGGGGCAACCAAGAAAACAGGGGGAACTGGGGGAGGGGTGGGTAACCTACTAAAAGAGCAGCATCTTATCCGTACTGCCCCATCAGGTAAGAAAATTACTAATGACACTCTGGTAGTAAAAGGGGTGACTCTGTGTTCGTAAATATAAGTATTACTTTTAAACTGTTTGTTTTAAGTTTATGAAAAATTATTTTTTAACAGACGTCTTTCAATACGAGTACTAGGCGTTCTTTCAGTCCTTTTACGTCGATTGCTTAAATAAATAATAATAATAAAATAATAATTAGGTACCTTTTTTGGTTTCTTTTCCTTCTTTTTAACCGGAGGAGAAGTACTGGTGGTAGAGGGTCCTTCTGCGCCTGCACTCGAACCAGCTTCCGCGCCCGCATTTTCTTTTGGCATTGCAACCGAAGCTGCCTCTTGATCAATATCAGCTGCTTCGTCTTCATCTGTGACGTCACCCTCGTCGTCACCATCTTTCTCTTGCTCTGGTTTTAATTTCTTACCCTGCGAGAAAAAGTGATTTCGAAAAATTTTAATCTGCCGTATATTACGTAAATAAAGAGGATAGTGCTAACCACAAATAAAACATTCTCCTTCTCATTTTGCAATATAGGCTAAGCGGTGAGCATGCAATATTACAGCGGAAGTAACAGTTATTTCGTGGACACTTAACTTTTGACGTAAAACAGCTTGTCACAATATATTTAATACTATTGTACTAAACAACACGCCGCTTTGCCAATACCTTGATGAGAATTTTGTTCTTGAAGAACTCTGGAGATGGAAAAGTATCGAATTCCTTATCTACGGGAATTTTGTACAGTGTATCTGGTTATCAAATTAGTCAAGGAACTTAACAGCCTCTTATCTTTTTGAACCATCACATTAATGTAATGTCTTAAAGCAACACAGCGAGTCTATCTCAGATTCCATGTTGCCGTGCGTAGTTCAGAGCACAGATGACGTCAAAAGGTGGTAAGAACCAATAAGGTGCAGCCAAGTGTAACACTGATGTTCTTCGCACATTTGGCAACTTCTGTGATCTATTACTGAGCAGACCCACGCGCGACAACATGAAATCTATTTGTTTTATATGATAATAAGATAAATGCAGTTTTCAAGTAATTCAATGCAGATGAGGATTAATTTAGTGCAAAGAAGTAACAAACCAGACTACATCATTCCTTGAACTTTTTTGTGCCTTAAAGATGTGAAAATATCATTGTCTATTATTGTTTTGATCGTACGCGGTTGTTTTGACCGAACGCAAAATATCACTTGTAGGGTTTGAATAAATTATTTTGGCACTTGATGCGCGCGCTTTGCTTCTGTATAATTATGATAAGCTATCTCGTATTTTTTCATGTATATTGTTATTACGTAATCACATGATTTTTCTCGTAAAATTTGGAACAAATGAGCACTTGTGAATTTTTTCAAAGACCACAGATAGTCTTTGAAAAAATTTACTCGTGCCTATTTATTCCAAATTGTACTCGAAATCATGTGATTACCAATACTGAAAAAGCAAATTGTTGTTAACGGTGACGTCATCTCTGCGTATGTCCTCCGATAGATCTTAAGAACCCATTGAAATGTGTGTGGGATGCAGCTTATCACATAAATTACAATATAAAGTAATTTCCTGGTTTATTTTAAAACTCGTTTCGGCGTTCACACGATCACGCAACAAATTCGCAGGCTGGTTTTTTCCCCTCAGATTTTGTATTTCATGTTTTTACACCTGACACTGAAGTAGGAAAGATGAACCCCGATGATATTGTTACTGTCATCAAAACAACTTGATCGAACAAATTTAAAGATACCTCCAAACCTTCCTTCCACTATGTTACTAATTTTCTTTCGATATGCTTTCGTTCTTCCCTTTACTACTCATTCGTTCATGATTCTTCAGTTCGTTACTTTCCTTGTTTGTTCTTCCCGTTATTTTTCCCTCAAATCACGCGCCCGATTTACAACGTAAGTTTCTCTTTAAACATACACCCCTTTTTTAGCAACATGCTGCTTTAAATTCTGGTAATATTTCTATAACAACTCATTCAAAGGATACCGCCAAGTATTTCTTCGAGTATTTCAGCCATTTTCTTTTGATTTGAAAGATTACAATGGTTTTCCAAGGAGAGGATAACCGGATATCTATAAACAGGAGAAAGAAAGAATCATTGCTAAATTACTAATTACTGGTCGAGGTAATTTAAGTCAGAATATGAACTGAGTGGCTCATCTGACCGGAGCTCATTCCGGTTTCTGTACAATGAAGCAACGAGGTGTTGCTACTCCTCCCTGGATAGGATAATAGTCTATTGTCAGGCCTCTCTGACATTTTGAAGGGTCATCAGACACAGTCAGAGTGAAATGTGTTGCCCAAGAACGCAACACAGAGAACTGACTGGCCTCTAATTTCTCCTTACAGTATCACCCTTGAATCAAATGTAGAGGTCATGAGAATAAAGAAGATGATCACCAATTTAAGGAGGTCCTGATTGTTACACAAATTCTCCTTTTCAGTGCCATTGGAAATGTACAGAGAGCACTACGAAGAATATGAATACGACTACTTGGGCGTAAAGGGCTAAAATCAGCAAGCTCAATCTTAAGTCTTATACATGGACTGCTGTATTACATCACTGTACCTCTTCCCCGGGAGTAAGACCTTACTCGTTTGTAAAAGAAAAAAAATTACTTACTCCGAAACCTCGAACGCATATCTATTAACAGCTTCGATGACATCCTTGAAGAGAATCTTGGAGGTGAGCGTATGACCATGATAAACAATAGGTTCTCCATTATCGCCATCCCAACAGTCCAACTCTACACAACGACAACCTTTCTTCAGAGCATTGATATAAGCATCCACACTGGACGGACCACGGAGCTGATCTTGTAGAAGATAAGTGTTGTGGGACGAGGCAATGTAGTAATGAGTGAGCGGGTGAGTCATGTCTTGGTAAATTTTGTCATGGGCGGGGTCGAAAATGTCCCCCTCTGGAGATTTGAGGTAGCTCGTCAACCCTGACAGATTGAAAAATATCTAATGGTCAAACCTTTCTTAGATTGCGCGCAGACCCTCATTATCAGCGCTGCAGGACACGCGTTTCTCCGCTCGCGGGAAGACATGACACGAGGCGTTTTATAGTTCTAGTTTTCCACGTGTCTCTCTCCCGCTGGTGTAGCTCAAGGCTTTATACTTTCCCACGAGCGAAGAAACGATCGTGCCGAAGAAACGCTCGTGCCGAAGAACCGCTCGTGCCGAAGAACTAATAACGAGAGCCCGAATGCAGGCAATATCTTTCTCGATATCTTAACCGAGCTCAAAATTTATAGTCTTTCTTTTTCTTCTATTTACGAACATAACGATTTCGACATTACTGGTTGTAGCATTATGCAGGACGCGTCTCACATACGAATCTTGTAAAGGCGTGGCTCACCATTGATTTCTTGGTGCCTCAGTGGACTGAGGTTCGATTCCATTTAAAGATTCAAAATTTTTTCCTTTCTTCCACGCTCGTGACAAGACGAAGAAACATCTCTCTCGTACGAGAAGAGTTTCCGAAATTTTACTTAAACAATTTGAACAGCATTTAGAGCAAACACTGACCGTCAATTCCTAATTCATGCCTCTTCTTCCCCGTCTCTGTTGGTTCATGGGTCAAAATCATATCCAAGCAGTATTCTCTGCTGACGTTAGGCATCTGAAAAAAGGAAGTAAAACGCCTTTGTTTCAAACTGATGCAGATTGTCTGTTATGTGCGATCGGATTCGCTGACTGACTAACTAGCGATAGATTGAGTGAGTGACTGACCTAAAACTGACTGACATATCGACTGACTTAGTCACTGACAATTGACTGACGTGACTTAGACTGACTGATTGACTTGAAGCCAATTATATGCTTGAGTAAATTGACTTGTTGACTGACACCTGTCTGACGGGTAAACTGACTTATTAAAATTGGCTAACTGATCAGTTAAAAACTCACTAACTGACTGATCGATTGAGGGAGGAACCGAGGAACCGACCGACCGACCGACCGACCGACCGACCGACCACTGGCTTAAAGAGAGTAACAGCATCAAACCAACACCTAAACATACTGATTACCTTATCGACCGATGGATAAATTTATAACTAGCAATCAAATCTTACCCCTTGTACATTTGTTAAAAAATAATGGAAATCATCTTCATTCATGTGTGCTCCATTGGATGAATTCTGCTTCATGAGATCGACAATTTCCTTTCTTGTAGATATTGTCTTGAAGAATGTGGCAAACTCGTCTTTATTAAGCGCTGCGTCACCATCTGTGTTCACTTCCTAATCAAATAGATGGTAAAAAAAGTGAAGAGTTGCTTTAAAATTTCCAAAGTTGTTGTGCTTCGTTTAAGGCCTGCAACAAACTTTCTTGTGAATTGAGCAGAGGTATTCTTCTTTCTATTGATATTGCAAAGAAAAAATTACTTAATCATCATTCGAAAGGGTTAAAATGAATTGCATATACTATAGTGGTGTTTAATCGAAATAATTCATGTGATGTGGAAACCGGAATAGCGTCCTGTACAGTTTTCTATCGGTTTTGCACTTTTCATTCGCAAACTAAGTTTTCTTTCCAAGTTCTTTGTTAATCTGGACTTATTAAGAAGTAGACATTGTAAACATACTCACCTTAAATTTCTTTTTCACTTGGCTTGGACTCATGCTAACGTTCAAAGCTTCGACAAGTCTCTGAACTTCCTTCAAACCTAATGAGCCATCTTTGTTCTTGTCGAATTTCTCAAAGGCTTCCACGAGCCATGTGAATATTTGTTAAAGAAAATACCTATCCGTTGCTTCCAAAACTACCCTGGAAAAATCAAACTATCAAACTGAATAGTGGCACAAAAGTAATTAATTGTATGTATGTCAATCTTGAATCTTTCCTACGCTTTTCATTTGAGTATCGTAACACTAAAACCAAAGTAATCACGACAGCCAATAAGAAGACGCATAAAAACGTACTCCAAAGAAACAATGAGAATTCATAGGAACCCCGTGAAAACAAAATCAAGCGCGGGAAATACAGAGACAAAGTATTCACAACAGCCAATCAGAAGAGGCGTCAGTACGTACTCCAAAGAGCCAATAGGAATTCAAAGTAACTACATGTAAATGAGATTAAGCGCAGGAAAAATACGCGAGACAAAGTCACGATTTGAATAATAGAGCGCTTTTCGATTGAGTTTGGTACGACCAAAACCGAAGTTATCACAACGGCCAATCAGATGAAAGGAAAGAATCTTAAAGAGCCAATGAGATCTCAAAGTAAAACTAACCAAACTGCCTAAAGCGCGGGAAAACGCGGGTGATTAAGTCGTGATTGGTTTGGTTTTGCATTTGATTGGTTGAGAGAGTAGCACGAGTTTTCTAGAGCGAAGAAGTGCAAAACCAGTGCAATCTCGCATTACTTTTGACCCTCGATTGAAAATTGCTCTTCTCACATCTGATCTGTTGAGTGGATAGCGCGTGTATTCTAGACCAATCACAGGATAGTTGAAAGCAACTTAATGGCAAGATGAGAATTCCAGATGATTTTCAATATTTAATAAAAGTGTGAAAGGATATTGATCGCGATTTTCCTTGTCCTCCTTCTCGAGATTACCTGAAGAACGAAGACAAAAAACAAACAGATAACTGAACAATCCAGTTAAAAAAAAAACATGATTGGTTTGAGCGAAAGTGTATGAGTAGTCACCGATTTCTTTGTCAAAGGAGTAGAATGTTGAATCTCATAATTGACTTTATAACGTCAAGTAACACTTTACAGCCTTAGATCAGTTTGCATATTCTCCATACTGTTCCCTATACATTTACTATGGTACCGACAAGGAGAATTTTCAATAATCATGAGCATCTTTAATTGGTGACCATTTCCTTTATTCTCATGACCTTAATGTGTGATTCAGGGGCGATGTTGTGAGGAGAAATTAGATGCTGGTCACTCTTAGGGATCAAGGGATTAACAGATCTAAGATCTGTGAAAAATTTCAGGTTGTCCACACGTTATCTAATACCCAAGAACGTTTTGCGATAGCTTGTTGTAAACTCAAATTAAGAGCAATCACAAGGGCCAATCAGATTATGAGAAGATATCACATGGCGCCAATGAGAACTTAAAGTGACAAAGCATGGGAAAATACGAGTGAGCATGTTGTGATTGGTTTGGCTTTACATCTGATTGGTTAGGAGAGTGGTGCAAGTTTTCTGGACCAATCACAGAAAGCAGTAAAGCAAAGTAAAAGCAATACGGGATCCCTCTCTACCCTAAATTATAAATTTTGCCTGTCCCAGATGTTTAGTTAGTAAATGTGAGCGAATAGTGAATGGCCGATAGTAGCGGAAGTCCGAAAACAAGAGAGGACTGGGTCCGGTGCATAACATTCTCAATGCTACCTGACCCCAAGCCTCCCACGGTTTTTCACTCCTCCACAACCATTGCACCGTTTACTAGCACCCTTCATTTTTAATAACTGAATGTCTGGAACAAGCTGATAAAAATTGTTTTGAGGCAGAATGTTACCTTTGTTGATAATGAGCTTTTGAAGTCCTCTTATCCAAAAGTCTGCCACTTCCCTTGACTCTGCCACCACATTGAGAGCTGCACTGCCCCCATTGTTGCCAAACTTAATGGAAATACAGTTCTCAAGGGAATGCTTTTTCAAAAATCCTTGGAAGAGGTCCTTGACATTGTCTCCAAATTGTATTTCTGTCATTTTGTCAATCTTAACTAAGATATAACCGAAAACCAAAGATGAATAAAATAAAATATTCAAGCTCTCTGAGTTTCATTTCAGGCACTAAGCCCAAAAATGTCACAACCATACAAGGCATTGGAAGGTCTTTCAAACCTTCATAGTGCATCAAAGGATATAAGCAAAAGAAAGGAGAGGGGGGTGTGGTTGATGGCACCTGTGACCCCCCATCCTTGCCCATACCTTGCTAAGAAAAAAAGGTATTAAATAATGATAACAAAAGATGAGTCTCTATAAACACAACTAATGCAGGAACCCTCCTCCCCACCCCCCTCACTTGGTCGAGAACAAGTGATGATTAATGAGATTGTACTATGTGCCAATGAGGCTAAGTCTCCCCCCCGCCCCTTAGTAACTTCCCATGACCCTAAATGACCAACCACAGTCAATAGCAACTGTAGGACCATAACACCGAACAACAGCAATTAATAACCACTGAAAATTATACATCATTTAACAAATATGAGGAAAAAGTTATTTTTATAGAGGGTGGAACAAAATTGTTATGTAGTAATTCCCTATTACTGTACAATAAATGTACAACCAAAATATATCAAACGAATATTCAGGCCCTGCCTGTTTAAAGGGAAGATGTTAACTCTATCTGCTATGAAATCACTGCCAGGTGGATTATAGCACAGTCCATTTTGTTTAGTACACTTGTCTATGGCAGAATAGTGATTTATTTGTTGGATAGAGTTTCCTGCCCTTTGAACAACTGTGAATTCCTATCTTTTATTTAATGTTAATAATGAAAGGACTACTTGAAAAAAATAAAAAATAGGTTTGCAATGCATGAAAAGGGACATTTGTCTAAAGATGTGAGTTACCCACTACTGTATCTACTGTATATAAATATTATGTAAATATTCAAAAATTTTTTCGTTTTCAAGTGCATAATTTTTAAACAAAAAGTCTCTCTTAAGAGTTAAAACAGCTGTGGTCATTTCTAAACAGAAATTATACCCAAGATACAGACCCACCATAAAAAATATCAGAAAATTAAACTTACACCGAGAGTTCTTCTTTGATGGCTCATATCTTATTTCTGTCATGTCTTTATCAAGGACAAAGGTTTTTTTATGATGGCCCTTCCTGTTGACATCCAGTTTGATCATCTTTGATCCATGTTGCATCGCCTTCCAGCAGTCTTGAACTAATTATAATCAATAATTTTTTATTCAAAGTTGTTTGAGCTAAAATGTTTTTTTAATGTTAACCCTTTAACTCCCAAGATTTTATTGTCAATTCTCCCCTCTTGATGCCACAGATTTCCTTATTGATTGGTCACGAGAAATTGGTGTTTGATAAAGATAACAACTACTGACTGATGAGGTTGAATAATCTCATTACCTGTTTTCTGGATAATTTATGGATATTATGGAGAGAAGTTACACATTAATCACTTCTAGGAGATAAAGGGTTGAACAAAAATTTAGTCTACATCATAAACACATGAAAATCATACATGCATGATCATCTTAATAAAGTGAATGTTCTTCATTATCTAATCACTAGGTTACCTAAACTTAGAGCATAAACTTAGACCATGAATTAGATGAAGCTAGTTCAAAGAATTGTAATCAACAATATTCATTAACTTACATCAAATTGATTTTGTCTGTTTGCATATGTCATCCCAAAGTTTTGGCGGTGTGTCAACACAGAATTTTCTTACAAATACCCGTTTCTTTGCTACATTCAATACACCTTAGTTTGTTTTACTAGTCCAATATTTGCATAACTTGTCAAAATTTAGCATACCAGATACAAATTAAAGCTTGACTAACACAACTGTTTCGATTTCACATGTACTTTCAAGAAAAGCTTTCATCCCAGAATATTCTTTTTTACTTGGATATGGTAGCAGTGCTATGAGGTATAACATGAGAGTCTTAAAGAAAATATATAATTTTTCATAAAAATGGAAAAAAAATTACATACTCGTCAAGACCTCGCCAGATGTGTGTATTCTTTTAATTTTGCTGTGAAATATGAGAGCGACGGGGTTTGGGCGCCTCGTTGTCACTCAACAAGAGAACTATTTAGCAGCAGGGAATATGCGAGTGATTGAAACCCCTTAAACGCTCCAAAATTGCGTGACAAAATGTCGTGACACATGTAAGAACTTTTCGAAAAGCCCCTAAACTTCTAAAGTATACATGTTCGATTATTTCCTTATCGAAAACCTCAACGTTTACATCGAAACGAGTAAAATCCACGACAAAATATGAGTTAAAAATAGATAAATCAATCAATAAAATCTTGATAAAGGATCCGATGTACGTAAGTTACTGTGCTGGGATTACTCGTAATTTTTTCCAAACAATAACATATTTGTTCCTTTCTATTTCACCGCTAGTTTAAGTAGTTTCACAAGAAGGAACAAAATTAACTTTTCAACGAAGTGAGTTAAATCTCAAGCTACTAAAGTAAGATTCTAGAAGCAAAACAATATTTTGACAAGTGTCAATTTCAAGACGTTCATTAATGCACTTCTTCTCCGCGAGTTTGCTAAGAGATAAACTTTGTCTTAAATTTCTAAGGAGAACGATCGAATTAACATTGAATTTCGTTAAAACTCTGTTCAAATTTTAGAAACTTATTCGCTTAAAGTTACGTACACTTAAAAGAATTTAAAACATGGTATTTCTTGAAGGCGAATATTTGTTATACCGATGCAATGTCACGCTTGGTTAAATGAAATTATCACAGTCATCCGAACCCAAAAACAAGAATGAAGAGACAAAATCATCTTAAAATATATTGTGTAACTGCAAACTAAACTTTTTCTTTAATTCTGCGAATATTTGTTATCTCAAAAGTTTGCAGACTTGACGTGGGCGAAAGTTGAAGCCAAACATCTGTCAGAACAAATCTTAACGACAAGCTTGGCAAATTTTAACACCAATGAGCCTAATATTCTATGCTTATCAGCAAAACGTTTTGAAAAATCTTACCTGATAGAGCAGAATTCTCGTTTTCATCGGCCATTCTTGCAAAAGTGAGGGCAACTGTATGAACTTCTTACAAGAAACAACAATTCAGAATTAATTATCATGTAAAAAAATACAAGTTAACTCAATCACACACCCGCCCGATTTAGAAAACCTCCGTTACGCATCGGGAAGTCCTTTAGTTTTACCGTATGGTTTAATTATTAATATTCAAAACATGTTCATTGAATATTTATAGGGATTTTTAAAATATTTGTCAACAGATCCAAAACATCCGCCATAAAGTTTTGGCAAAATGAGGAATGTTTTAGGAAGGAAAATCGATGTTTACGAATTTCCGATGTACACCGCTGAATAGCACCAGTACGTGACTTGAAAAACTTCACGTACAGCCCGTGTGAAAGCATAGAACCCCTAGGAAATAGAGTGTTTTTAAAAAGAAAAAAAAACTAATGTGTGAAAGGCAGGCATATATATTAAGGCGGCATAATTTTTTTCAAGGCGTCATGATTTATTAAAAACGCAGCAAGAGGATTTCTAAAGAACGCTTTAAAAATGTTTTGAGAACTTTCCTTGAAGGTATCGGCGTAATTTTTTGTGCAAAAGTAAACAGCTTGCCCGTTGTTTTCCTTAGAAAAAAAAAAATGAGAAAGAAAGCTATCGCTACAGTTGTGTCTTCAAGATTGTTCGTAGGAGAGACATAAGGTATGAATTTGTAGTCTCCGCCCGTGTTTTGACTTCGAAAGTGAAAAAAGGATATGCAATTAAGATCACCTCCCAAAGCATTGCACAATATTAAACAATACTTTGTGATTTTACTCATTCATAGTCGGAAAAATTCAGAACATTGAAAGCCAAGGAGCTTTACAAACAGACTTAAATATAAAAAAAATAACACACAAACACGATCACTTACCAGTGTATCGCAATCTCTAGAACTGATAAAATACTGGCGAAATAAATAAAACCGAAATAAATATTGCAGCGCGCGTGAATGAAATGGCTAATACTTTTTAAAAAATACCCCAATTGCATGATACAAATCGATTTTCAAAATTATACAACATGAAGGAAAAATGCGGAAAACTGGGAATATTTGTGCAATATCTTTAATGAAAACCCTGAGTAATCTTAAGGGTCTCTATCCACCGACACAATACTGTTCTACATAACATCTAGCCTGAAAATAATATCACATATCCCGAGTGCAGTTTGCGCATTTAACGTGCAAAGAAAGAATTTGATCAGGTATCGCAATTTTTGAAAGAAAAACCGCAGTAAATGCAAAGCTTTATGTTTAAGAGGGCCATTTTGCTTACCAAATGTCCAACATTGACTTGTTCGGTCTTCGCTAATTGCTTCTTTTCGCTAACAGACGAACAGATGCAATTGCAGGTACTAAGGCGGGTAGTTGTTAATTGTCATGAGATAAATATTGGGAATTTTCCAAGTAACATCAGATGCTAATAAAAAATATTCGATATAATCCTGGATAAGCTACCCACAAGATTATCTATCAGGCGCGACTTTGGCCTTTATCTAGAAGGGGAAGAGGTTTGTGGCCTCAAGGCTTTCGTCAAAACTGAAATAGGAAACGGAAATGAAATAACCTTGAACGTTTTGCGAAGTAAAAGGTTATATTTAACGACCTAGGTTTCCTCAACTCATGAGGACATACCCCATGACATAAATAACAAAGATTTAACCAACAACTTTCTAGTTTCACACCGTGGTTACGGAAACTCAAACGTACATAATTATCGAAATGCCAAATCCGTGATAAAAAAATTCAATGAAAGTTTTATTTCGTGACATTAACATTATTGTGTAGCAACAGCTCTCATGCGCGGTCGAACGAAGTTTACAGTGACATCATCATTTTATGTAGGCTTTCAAGAGATTTCTGAGAGGGTCACACACTTGGGTGTACGTAAAAGTTAAGGAAAGTTGAAATACAACAATGGTGACAGTGATGTTTTTATATAGCGCATTCTCCGTAAGAATATGCTCTAATACACGTAACAAAACTTTGCGGGGGAATTTGGCCACACTGCATTGAGTAATTTACAATATTTTTGAAAGAGAATTTTGCAGGTGCCACCAATTAAGTAATTTTGGGAAACAAAGCCAAAAACACAACACCAGGAGCTACGTTCCTTACTCTTTGCTAGAACGTTCCCTACTCTCCGCGAGAAGTGCGTGGGTTTTTTTTTCTTTTTTCAACGTCCTCTGCAAACCAGTAGAACAAAAGTAGCATATTCTCCTTCGTAATTTTTAAGACCCTAAGTGTTGGTCCGGTCTGGGTCTTAAACCCCTGACCTCCACGGCGGTCTGTTACATCCTCTGCCTTTTCCTACATGACGGAAAATAATAATAATCTTCTGACATCTTTAAATGGTCAATATGGAAACGTGACCTTAACCGGAAGTGATCTTAAGTAAAGGAACGACGTGCAAATATGACGCACATCCGGTCTTGCATGTGTCTCATTTATTACACTTCTAAATATTATAACTCGAGGCACATGACAAGCATAAGACCTGCAGCTTCTCCCTGAAACATCTGCTCACTATCCAATAAACAAGTCATGAGAATACTCATACTTATGCTGTAAAAGCTGCTATCTTGATCTAACACTAAATTTATCGTATGTATTTACAAGAAAATATCTAGCGGCTAGAAGGGAGAATTAACAATCAGATCTTGGGAAGAGAAGGGTTAGAAAGTCCAACCGGAGCGAAAACTGGAAATTGTTTGTGACACGTCTATCCACTCAATGTTCAATTCTCATGCGTCTCGAATTCCGTAAGACATTTATTTTGGTTGTGAGTGGTGACTTGTTATGAAATGCACCTTTCAGAATGATTGTTAAAAAGCCAACGCAAGTCTCCTTTTGGTAAGTTTTTTTTCAGTATGTAACCGTTTAAAACCTTAAGAAGAACAAGCATCAAATTTTTCCCGACAAAATCACCCTGAATCAAACATTATTAAAGGTCATGAGAATATTGGAAATGAAACTCCTGATACTTAAACAAATTCTCCTTATCTGCACCTCAGAAAATGTATAGAGAACAGTAGGGAGAATATGCATACTGATGTGAGGGTGTAAAGGTTTAAAGGGAATACCTACAGAAGATTTGGGGGCAAATTTCAAACTTCACCTCATGGAGACGTATGCG